GAAAGCCGCTATAGAGCAAGTCGCAGAACTTTTTGACAAGGTTGAAAGAGTGGAACATCTCTATCCAACTTGTAAGTCTCTTGGCGAACAAAACCCAAAGTACAGGAGTGAAGAATTTACCAGAAATTTTGAAACTTTGTGTTTATGGTTAAATGTAACAAGTGAGTTATATCACAAGCTTCATTTGGTGGCAAAGTTTGTTGGTGTGGATTTAAATGACACAGAAACATGGAAGGACTGGCTAGATATTGGTCTAGGAAGGTTAGGTAAGTGAGCTACAAGTATGACAGTCATTATTTACAAGTTAATTGGTGTTACATGTACAGTCAACTCCCGATAATTCAAACCTTCAAGGGAAATAGAAAAAAGTTTGAGTTATCAGGAGTTAAAGTTATCAATATGGTCTGAAGGGAAATGAAAATTGCTTCAAGTTAGTGGGAGGTTTGAGTTATAGAGGGTTTGAGTTACTGGGAGTCAACTGTATAAACAAGCATCTGTTCAAATGTTCAGATATAAACTGACACTAGTCTTGTTTGGACAAGGGCTATTCATGTTTTTCTCACATGAATTATCCAAAAGTGGGCACATTGATTTTCTACTCTACACTGTATCAAAACCAAAGGTAAACAGGGTTCGCACAGTCCTGAAAGTCCTTGAATTTTACGGGGGGTCCTTGAAGAGTCCTTGAATTGCAGTGCAATTCCTTGAATTTACTTCAACTTTGAATGTCGGGGTCTTGAAAGTGTTTTTACACTGTTTTTTGGTTATCCAAGACAGAATATAAATCATAGCTCAGAGAAGGTAAAGGTGAATTTACATAAAGTGTTTTTTGTTTTCACAAAAATTAACTCTCAATTTAAGGGAAGTGGACTGAAAAGTGTAGAAAAGTTGTTGGAGCAAACAGTTCAAGCATTCAAGTCCTGTTAGAATGGACTGGGAATGTAAATACATTTTTGTTACAATTTGTGAAATTACATTCCTGGTAGGAAGTCCTTGAAAATCTTATGTGGTCCTGAAAAGTATTTGAAAAGTCCTCAAAAAGTGGTTGCTGTTTTGTGTATGATCCCTGGTAAAGAAAACTTGATGCACTTGCTTCCTTCTAGTATCAACAATAGATGAGGTTGGTACCTAGTTGCACATACAAGCCAAGTGCTTAAATGTACATGTATCCATTACAACCCAATAAGCGGCAACCACCACTAACACTGTCATATAGATTTAATATACTGTAGTTATCTGAGAGGGGAGGGGTAGAGTTGGAAAACAGCAACAAGGCTGTGGAACCACAAACATGCAGGATTGAACACTGAAATTTAATAGCATAAGTCTCAGCTATAGGCCTTGTACTTTTGTAAATCTGTCTCTTTAAGACACCTACACCTGTACCAGGAATTCCTTACAGTGCATGTGAGATGTGCTAACCCCAGCGCCAAAACTGTGGAACTCAATACCCAATTCATATAGAACTATACGATTTTTCAGGGCTTTTAGAAATATTATTAGAAAACTGGACTTGTCAGGTTTACTATAATATTAACCTACAACTTACTAGTACCAGTCTATTGCATTGTAAATAGTTTTAACTTTATCTTAGTATCATGTAAATTACATTTTATCTCTCTAATTAGCTATTTTATTTACAGTTTCAGTTATAATTATCTGTTCATTTTTAATTTTCTATTTTTCTATGTCGAATACCTGCAAAGTAGCTAATGAGTTTTCTCACAAATAGCTAAGCGTATTTTACACAATAAACTTGACTTGAGTTTAACTTCACATAAAATGGTAAAATATTTTCTTCATGTAGCACTTACACTGTGACATATCAAGGTTTACATCTTTCTCTTTTAAACTTTTATGACAGTTTACCCAGGGTGCAAAGAAAATCATTTTTACAGCTGGCCATTCGGGCAAGCTGAAGCTAGCGTTTACTAGCCCAGATGTCATTTCAACTAGCCCCAAAAACTTTTTGACTAGCAGAATTGATTTCATAGTTCTTCTGTTACTCGAATTCCTCAAAAAACATCATTTGCCCATCGGGCAAGTTAAAAACAGAATTCACCAGCCCGATAGCAAAATCCACTAGCCCCGGGCTATTGGACACTACTTTCTTTGCACGCTGGTTTACCAAAAAATGTTCTAAAAAACATTCCTGGTTTACGTGATTGTTCAAGAGAATTCTTTCACTTTTTTCTTCCAGAAAATTTGTGCCCTGTTTTAGATCACAGCCATTTTGATGCAACTGAAACATGGCCAGTTACTGATGATGAAGATGACAAAGATTTTGATGAGGAGGAGGAAGAGGATGAGGGTCAAGATATTTATGAAAACGGTGGATCAGCTATCAGCAAACCCTCATCACCGCAAAGAACATTATCCCATGAGTCACAAACAAGCACACCTGCAAGACCATTACGAACAAGCAGCAACGTGTCAAACTTTGTATGGAGCTCTACATCGCGGTACAGACCCTTTGCTGATAAAAACATCAAGAAAATGGGTTTGATAAAACTTGGAAAGAGATTAGGTGACATTTTGGACACTAGCATGATGAAAGCCAGGCAAGCATTAGCTCCTGCAGTGACATGTTGTGTTGGTGATGAATGCCAATGTAAAACTGTTGCACTTAATCCCAGGAAAGTTTCTATAAACTACCTGGAAGCACTTTTGAATGGACGCAGTGAGGACTTCGTACATTTATCTTGTAGCTGTCATCCTCACAGTACATTGTGTTGTGAACCAGGAGATCGAATCTTGGGTAATGATCTTGAGCAAAGGGGCCTTCCTTCTTTCCGCTCATTGTATCTGTTCTTATGCCGTGTTCTCCTGGATATAATCCATGAATGTTTGCGTTTGAGGCTTCAACATCGTCCTAAAGGGGAGCCATCTTCTTTGAGTGTGAGACAGGTAAAGAATACTAATTTTTATGCAGCAGCTAGCTATAGGTATGTTAGTTATCTTAGGCACTGAGCCCCAGTACAGTACTCCCTGGGTAGTAAATGTGAACATGTCCTTTTTTCACATAGCCACACTAGAACTCAGACACGGTGCTGGTGCCGGAATACAAGGTCTAGACCTCATACCTGGGCACTCAGGGCTGTCAATATGGGCCAGTAGCCGGCCAAAACCGATAGCTAGTTAGCCATCCTTAGCCGGCTACTTTCATCTCCTTCTACCATAACTGCCAACAAAAAATAGGCACCATCAAATAAAATTGTAAAGCATCCATTTCCCAGTTTTAAATGACATTGAACGCATATTTAAACAGGTTTAGATCAATGAAACGTTCGAACCGTGCAATGTTGTGGAATGCCTGGGACATTTCAATGGCGTTGTTCCCAGTCCTGGGTGTATTCTGACAAAACAACATGCCTTCGGTGGAAAACATTCCTTCAAAACCCCTGGAAATAGCCGTTTCTGAGAGTCTAAATTTCAAAATGTACCTAGATGACTAGACCCAGAAGAATTCGTGCCTTTGGTGTGAGTTCCAAAGCCACCTACTATTCATCATCAGCCTGCTACTTAAAATCTTTTCGACAACCATGGGCAGTACAGTGTAAGGTGAGCAACAGGTCCCTGTGTGCACACCATTTTTGTTACTGCCAGGGTAGTTCACTGCTTTGTTCTCCCTGCTAAGCTCATATTTCAAAATGGCATTTGACAGGGCAAAAGGAAAATCAATTACTATGTATACATGTATAGTTCATATCAGGTACCCAAGATGTGAATACAATACCATTATTTCTGTTTCGTCAAGCACCAAGTGTGAGTAGCCCCTTATTTCCCATTATTTTAAACTTACTGTACTATCATACATTAACCCAGCAATGAACAAAACTGAAGTAAGATTTACGCTGCAGTGATTTTGTTACGAATAGTTATGGTGAGTCCTGGGAGTCATCTTGTGAAAAATCATGAGTCCCTGTCCATAGCCAATGAGTCCCAGTTAAAAAAAAATACAAAAATTGAAAATGCTTGGGCCTCTTTGTAACCGGACAGTTAACCTGAAGACAGACGCAAAAACTCTGTATTACAGTATACTGAAATTAAAATATAGTCCTACTATTTTAAAGCACAACAAAGACTAAAAGAAATAATTATGCATCGTTAAACAACAGCTACAATAACTGACACAGAAATTACGTGAATGGGTCGGATATTTCTACAAATACACATGTTCAGGTCGATCAATTGATCTTTGCATCCTACGGGACGCATGCCATGAATTATTTTGAGCCTTTAAGAATTTTTATGTGTCAGGGACGAAGGACGCAGAGGTAACAGAATCACTGAGTTGGATAAAATTGTACCATAACATTGCTTTGCAATTTATGCCTTAGTGGTTAATGTTTACTTGATATTTACTCTGCAGCTCCTTAGAGAATGCAAAGATGTATTATTGGGTGGAGTCTTAGTTAAAGACTACTACCTCTATCTTGTTGATGGAGTGGTGAACTTAGAAGACTCTAGCAGTGAAAACACCGAAAGTGATATTGAAGGATTTGAGCAAGATCTTCAGAGTCTCCTTCAGGTACATGTCACATTGATGCTGCTTTATTATCATTCTACTGTTCTGAAAGCAGGGAAGTTCTCTATTTTTTTTGTCCTCTTTAAATGGGGTTTGCAACTTGGTCTTGAAAGGAAATAAGCAGTTTGCTCATTACTCTGTATTTACATGATGTAAGGGGCATAGCTTCCTGTACGCACATGCATACCTGAAAAATTCAAGGTTAAAAGAATGAAATATTATTATGAAATGAGAATGCTCTTATCGGCGTTAAGTCTCACTTGCTCGGAGATTAGATAAGAAATGAGGAGGCAATTAATTCTAGATGAAACAGGATTTACTCGCTAAAGGTTTTACACTCCCTACTTACAGGGGAGGGCAGGGATGAAGTTTCATCTAAATTTGTCCAAAATGGTGCTTAATAGATGTTAAATCATATGACATGTAAATATTTGCTTTTTGTCTGTAGGTTTACTTTGACTACCTTCATAATGTGATCCACTTGGTACAGAGGCTTCCTCAGGCCTCTAAAGGTCTCAAAAACTTTCTTGAAGAAGAATGGAATTTTGTGAAAAGGCACTGTCGGCACATAAGAGGAGGAGAAGTTGAAGGAGGAACTAGATTTTGGTGAGGGAAGCTACATGTAGTCAGGGGTTGTTATGACACCAAATTCTTTTTTTTTAACCTGTTGCCAGGTTTTTTATTATTATAGTTTTTCATGCAACAATTACAAAAAAAGAAGAAAAAAAGAAAAAACATAACATAATAATAACAGAAAAGAAACCAATCATGACTCTAAATTCTGGCTAACAATATATTTAATGAGTTGACAAAATGGTAAACGGCTCAGTGTACTATTGAGTTGTAGTTGCATACGAAAGGGCCACACGAGGTGATAGCAGAGTGTGACTCTAGCTTCTTAAGTACCTAGCAATCCTCCCAAGTGCGGCTACATGTATGACTCAATGGTACACGCTGAGTTGTGTACCATTTGTCTTATAACATAATCAAAAGAGAACAACTTTTAATTTTGCTCAGAGATAGCAGGGCCAAATGACGTGAGTGCTGTAATCTGCTCACACTATGGCATGTACAAATAATTCTTTGCAAGTTCTTTTCTTTTGAAAAAAATTGTTTTGCTGAATAACTAGTTCTCCATCTCAATTTTATGTTATCGTTAACAGTCTTCGTAAACATTTGTTCAGTATTAAGAGAAAAATCTTAGTTCTGCAAACTATGAGGTAAAAAATATAGTCGCTTAGAAAGTGGCGCACATGGCTTTGAGCGCACGCTAGCTTTCGTCACCCATGGGCAAATAGTAAATAGGTAATTGACCAATCAGGGTGTATGCTTTACATTTGTTGTTATAAAGAGTCAGTGGTAGAAACCTTAGCAAGTGACTGGAAATATGGTTGTCAACAGTCCCATTACTGAACACCATTTACAGACAAAACATCAAATTCACTGGAACTCTGCAACATGCACTACATGTACATATTCTGACAGACTACTGCCTGCTACTAATAAATGAATTATTGAGGGACTCAAGTGCCTACCTGACGATAGTAGAATGTCTGGGCAAACTGACAATTTGAAAACCAGAGTTTTTTTACCATCAAATGATGAGATACAACCTACATTGACTCTGACGATGACTACCACAAAGGTTGTTGAAATGTAAGTCACCGTAAACAACAGTCCTAATCAGGAACATGTTCGTCTTACTCAAGTCAAGGGTTTATTTAGGGTTTCATTGTCCGGTATTGTATGGTGGAAGCTCCATTTTTCAATCACATTCTTTAAAAGCTCTCATTAATTTCTTTATTTCTTTATCTGAAAACCTCACTGAAACGGTCCCTCACTGATCAGTGCAACCACATTTTTGAAACCCACGAGGTTTATGGCATTAGCTGACTATGTCTGCAATTTACTAACAATGTAGTAACACAGAAAACCACCAAAATGCAGAAACAAGCTTTTGATTAGTGGAATCACTTATAAGTATTAAATAAAAATTATGATAATGAATTTTACTATTATCACCTTAACTTAAAGGTCAAATGAACCAAAATTTCGACATTTTTTATTTTCGTTTAATTCTAGTGAAATGTGTTTAATACGAACCAAATAAACATACTATGAAGTTTCAGCTCAATTGAAGCAAGTATCTCTGAGATATTCGCAATTAAAAATTGCTATTTTTTGGCCCTTATCTTCGTAGAGCGGTCGGAAAAATTGTCGGAAAAAACAGCTTGTGACGTCAATGTTGGTCAGGTGAAAAAAAGCGGGAAATTCAAAACAGAGTTTTTCGAGTCGACTTGGCGCAGAAGTGGTTTGTGTGGCCATAAACCTGGAAAGAACAGGCAATTTGTCTTCAAAAGTTGCATATTAAAACGGACTTTAACGACATTTACTAATTTCCTTGAGTTGAATTGAAAATGTGCGTGGTTAAGTCCGATTTTTTTCAAGATACATTCACAAAATTTGTTCATATAAGGAAGTTCCTGGATATATAAGGTCTGGAGCTCCACCATGGACACAAAACAAAATATCTTTGTTTAATTATCTGCCCAAAGAAATTCAAGTTTGCCCACAATGTGTTTGAAGTCACTGAACTTTGTCGCACTCGAGCTGATATTTTAAAACCCCCGCTCGATCGTACACTTCCAGCTTCGCAGATCACTAAAATATAAACAAAATCCTCAATGTATAAGTTTTGGCGTGGGCAGAAAAAGAGTTCATCTTTATCTAGTAAATCTTCCCCAAGATCGGATTCAAAGCAACCATAGTTTTTTAAACTTGATCTTTTCGCGCAGATTAATTTTGCTTTGTGTTGTCATGTTCATGCGAGCGTCTTCATTCAAGCTAATTAAACTCAGCAAACTGAATCATCAGAAAATACAGAAAACTGCACATAAGGATTTGTTTTGCTCGCTTCAGCGGTCAAATCCAGCTCCAGGAATTGTTTAATTCAACCCGACGAAAAAAGGCGAAGCACTAGAATAGACACAAAATCAACTCACAAATCGAATGCACGATTATCAGAAAAATACAAACTTGTTTGGAAATGTTCAAAACGTTTCATTCCACCTCAGACTGACGGAATGATCTATTTTTACTCTAACATTGGTTGTTCTGAATCCAAAGTAATTTTCAAGTGACGAAAAAACAACAACAACAACAACAACAACAAGCGTTTACAAGGAACAAACGTTCGCACCTCGTGTATTTCATTCAGTCTCGGTCAGAACTCTCACAGAACAACAGAACGAGACAAACAAACAAACGGAGGCAATAAGGGATGCGCAGAAGCTTGCGCAGAACGTTTTCCCGCCCTGAAAGACCAACATTGACGTCACGTAGTCTCCAGTCTATCACGCGGCCATTTCAGAAACGTTTTCGTGAAGTCTTCGGAAATGCTCGAATTTTGATCTTTTATCTTCCTATAAAGGCTTGGGAAGAAAAATCTTTACCCAAATCTCACTTAGCATGGTTCTTTTTAGTGTTTGGTGAAGGTAAAGTGACAAAAGAAAATATGTCAATTTTTTGGTTCATTTGACCTTTAAATCCCAAATTAAGATTGTAATAAATGTATTGTGCTTTGTACGCCAATCAATCATTTCAGTGTGATGGCATCAGGATTGTTGGAGTCTACTGGTGATTTCTTGGAGTCAGAGTTGGATCAGAGTTGTTCAGATCTTCATAACAACACAGATCAAAGTGATGATCTCAGGTACAAATTATGTGACTTCTCTTGCAAAACGTTAAAATGTAATGTAATGGCTTTCTGTTTCGAGCAGAGTTCTTTTACTAGCCTGTTTGAACAGATGTGTGCTTTTGTCAACACTTTATGTAATCCCAGTAGTATGATAATATTGATAATCAATATTTCACGGTAATGCCATGGCTTTAATAAAAAAAATGTTTTGAGAGACTACACTTGTAAATTACTTAAGTTTTCTGTATGGAATAAAGAAAGATGATGGATTATAAGCTCAGTGAGTGAATGTGAAGGATGTGACAATGAACATGTAACAAGCATGGGACAAAGAAAAAATCTTAAGTCCCTGACAAGATCTGAACCTGTGACCTCCCAAGCACCCAAGGGTTGCTCCATCTAGAGAGCTGCCTGGAGAGCAAGGCCATGTAAAAGGTTTACCGCAGTATATTTGACATTTTTGACATGTAACATATTTTTCTGTTCTATTTCCTTCTGTTCAGTGGTATTTGGTTGGTCAAGAAAGCAGACGTTCTAGCCATCTGATCCAGCTAAATTTCAGCTTATGTATTAAAATGTTACTTTATTTCACTAACAGTGAATATATAATCATAAGGGTTTTTCAGGTTATAACTTGTCGTGATGCCATCTTGTTTCTTCCTTTACAGACGCAAGGTTCTAGAGGCATGCAGAGGATTTAAGCATCTGTTCAATGAGGCAAGGGAAAGGGCATCCAAAGCACTTGGCTTTACAAAGAAACTTAGAAATGACCTTGAAAATGCTGCAAAATTCAGTATCAATGTACCAATGTATGAACTGCTGACAAGACTGGAGGCTAGCGGCCATGTACAGGTAGGCATGAGTTGTATGATCAAATCAGCCTGAAAGGACTTTTATAGTGAAAGCCACTTGGAGTAAGTGGGTGATGTCAAATGAAGGGGTGTCTGAAAAAAAATTAAATGGTTTTCTGATAAACCACCATGAGCAGATTGTCCTTGCAAACTACCTCATATTCTTGAAGATGATGTAAACTGCCGAAATACAAATTTTAAATGAGGCTATGATCATCGCAGTGGTAATATTGCAATTTAAGCAATTGAAAATAAAACCAAAAAACATTTCAGGACTTCAATGGGATTGGAACCCATGGCCTCAGCGTTAGCACTGCGGTGCTGTACCATTTAAAATTTACCTCTTGTTCTTTTGTGCAACAAAGAGAGAATTAAAAGAGTCTCTTAAGGCATCTTTCCTTGCAACCCTTCAATTTAATACTTAAAATTTTTACTTAACAGCACAGTGAAAGAAAATTTAACATTGTTTTGTTTTATGTTTCAGGTTTTAGCTCGCCATCTCACTGGACTGTTCATGTTTGTTCCAAAAACACTTATCAAGAAAAAATGGTAAGTGTGAACTTTATTATTTTATGCATCATTGTGGCATTCTGTGAAGGAGAATGCAGACCATTAATTCGAGCATCGAAAAATGTAGGGGTCCTCATGACAGGATATTCATGGCTGGTCACCCAACAAGTTTATAAATGGGACAGGCAGGGCTTCCCTTTTTGCAATGCTGAGTGTAATGAGGGTTTGCAAGATATGTATTTCTAGTTAAACCAGACTTAAGTTACCAGGGCCCGCCCGAAGCTACCAGAGCTGCTGTGCTATAGAATGACATCAATAATATTATTGTTTCTGCAGTCAAATCATTCATCTCCTGAATGCTTGCTGTGTTCAAGAAGAGTTTGGTGACCAAGTCGTCTCGGACGGACAGGGATATCTCCTGATCATGCCATCCTGTGATGTGGAAAGTGGCAAGGAGACATCCTTCACTTGGACAGGCAAAAAAGTGACAGTCAATCCAACAATGGACACTGCTATTGGTCTTGCTGACATACAGGTAATAGCAAGCAAAGTGATTTTCTCTCTACTCATGTAGAAAACAGTAGCTGGTAGGTGTATTGTGATGAGAACCATTTAAACTCCTTCTAATTATCTCAGTTTGATATGACACTGTCAGTGTCAAATTCAAAAAATCCACACATTTTCCTCCTTCCTTAGAAAAAACAGCATTTCACAGTCTAATACACTGCATGTACATAGCATGTTTACAAACATACTAGCTTGGTCATTGCTCGCAGTGTCCCTGGGCCTCTCATGGCTTCCAAAAAGACAGAAGCTTCTTTGCTGACTTATTGATGCAAAATATATAGTATCACTTAAAAGTATCGAAATATAGTACTGAACAGTATCTCTTTCTCTCTTGCTTTGCTGGCACTAAATTATGCTAGATTTATGAAGCCCTCTGTCTCTTTTAAGCCACCCCTCCCCACAAATTTGCTCCTAAAAAAGCCCCTGGGGGACTTGAAGGAGGATTTATAGCACATCCCAATTTGAGTCTCACGGAATTCTCGTATTTTTTTCTTTTTTTAAAAAAATATACATGTAGGTTGGAGGATGATATTGGTTGTTCAGAATTCTAAAGAGTTGGATGTGCAGCGCAAATTGTTTCTAGAAAGTATGAGTTTGGCTGCGAGCATTGTGAAACCAAGGACTTCAAGCCACCAGGCCATTGCAGAAACTCTTGATGAGTTACAGGTTTGTGCTCAACTATTGATTAATTAATGAATTTATTCATTTATTTTTGTGCCATTTGCACCTTTACCTATTGGACTGTTTGATGTCAGACGATGTGAACACTGGCCAACTGTTTGAAACATTTCAAAAGTAGGTTGAGTTTGATCGTCCGGGTGAACGTAGTCCTGAATAGGACTGTTGTTGTTGACAGTGACTGACGTTTCGACAACCTGTGCGGTAGTCATCTTTAAAGTCAAAGTGATTTGTATCACGTCAGTTGATGGTATTATACTCGGGTTATTGATCTGATTGGACAATTACGTCGCGATGTTATTGGCTATGAAGACTCGTGATCAGTAATTAGTGCGTTTCGATCCGATTTTTGTTTGAAACACGTCACGCATAATTTAAGCAATTCAAGCAAGATATTACACACTCAATTTGGCAAGGAGGCAAGCACTCTTTCTAAACCCTGCTTAACTTTTTCTGAAGCCTTCATTTGAAAAGACCAGTTGCTATACTTTACCCAGGATATAAAATTAATAGGATATAAAATGGTTTAACAAGCAAAATTCAGTACCCTACCATAAGGCCACACCTTAAAAAAAAAACAAACTAAACTAGACCAACCGACATTGTTGGTAGCGGGTAACACTAGGGGGTTCCGGGAACTGATAAATCTGTTGCCCTCCAAGTGCCTCCATCTAATTGAAGACACTTTCCAGATTAAATGGGAATTTGGCAATTAGTTTTTGAGGAGAATTAGAAACTGGAGAAAAAAAACTGAGAAAAAGAGCAGGGGAGGAAACAAACAGCATACTCAGCCCACGTGTAGCATTGATGAAGGACTCTACACTGGGCCACGTTGGTGGGAGGCGAGTACGCTCATAACTGCACCATCCCAGCTCTCGCCGTTCAATCTTGCAGTCATTCACATCTGACAGCATGTTATACCACTTACCTTTCATCTGCCTGTTTCTTTTCAGGAGGCATGTATGTCTCTTCGCGAGGGCATAGTAAGGGCTGTGGAAAGAGTTGATGAGAACTTGGATCTTGATAGCATGTTTGACATGGATGATGGAGAGAAGGCCATGGTTTATCAAACATACACGGAAACCATGCATCTATGTTACAACTTTGGTTTTGAGGTAAATTCAGGCAGTACTTGGGGACAGGGACGTTCGTGAGTGAATTTAATTAAAACCGTCAAAAAGAGAGAAATTTCCCTAAGCTTCAGGAGAAAGTTTATCTTATGTAATCGTATGTTGACATTCTTTGACGACACCAAGTTTTATGAAACTCAACACACTATATACACTCACTCACCCCACCCTCCCCCCGTCTGTATTGGAGAAACGTTAAAGTGTCACTCGCCTACCCGGGCCACCCTGGACAAACCAACGTTTCATACATTTCCTTACAAAACGTGGCGAACTGTTTACAGGAGAAACAAAAAGTTGGCTCAGCTAGAAGGGTGACCTGGCTAGCCGGTCAACCTTTGTGGTGTTAAGGTCACTTGTTCTCTTTATAAACAATTTGGCTCGCTCAGCCGGTCAACTCGGTCAAAACGAGACAATTTTTATTTGAGCATGTGCAAGCGCTCTTGGCTTAAGCAAAGGGATCAAGTTTTTTCTTATACCAACTCTCGCTAAAGTTGACTCGGGTGGGAGGGGAGGGTGACTCTTCTACCTCACTGGGATAGGTTTTCTCCATAAAAACGGGGCCTCAATCACGCCTTTTCACTTTAGCGAGTCCCGGATGTAAGTCACGAAGACCGCTTTACACCACACTAATTTGTAACTTTCAGTATCAGAAAGAGGTTGCTCGCTTGGTGTTTGGGCAGAGAAAGGAGGATCTTGGACACAAAATGCTGTCATTTGCAAGGCAGTGGATGAAGTTTGTGATGACGAAGTGTGAAAGGGGACGAGGAACAAGACCAAGGTATGCAATGTATCCCATCATACCATTCGCCACCCTAGAAACGAGAAAGGAACTGGAGCCGAAATGCGTACCGCAATTGTTTCTGGGATTGTTGCTGGGGACGCGCTGTTCAGCTATTAGAGAGTTTTAGATCCGAGTTTACCGCGAACGTCTAACCGCTGGAGGTCACGTGACAAGTCTTTCGCGTCACGTTTGAGGTTTACGACGTGCGTTTTCAACATGGGGAGGTAGGTTTTCACGTACGTCATTTACGTGAAAGCTTTTAGCGTATAATTCTTGTTTTATCCCACGTAATGATACAAAAATCTTGTGGAGCAAGTCTTCATCCATTAACAGAGGCACAAATTCGGGCGAAATGGCTAAATTTGATAAATCTTGTTGGATCTTGAAAACAAGTGCCATTCATGGCTGCTGATTCAAAATGGCGGCCGTAAATTTGCAAGAAGAACTAATGTAAGAGTTTACAGCTCTTTCCTGCTAGATAACCCAGTGTTACCGTAAATTTATTTTATTTCCACTGATTGATATTTCTTCTATTTCTAAATGGAAAAATAAACCTAGAATGGCTTCTTTCATCTACCTCCAATCTAAATCGAATAATGTTTGAACGTCGAACCGCGAACGGGTAACCGCAAACCGCGGTTAGAGGTTCGCGGTAAACTCGGATCTAAAACTCTCTATTGGCCAATTTTTTTCCCCTGTCCTCGCTAGTAACAATCCCAGAAGTCTTGGCGAAAGTTAACTCAAAGTGATACAGCTGAGAATGTAAAAAATAATAAATAGACCTTTTTACCGATACGGCGGCCATTTTAAATTTACTAGATTTAAGGAGTATTAGGGGATGTCCAGGGGGCACTCGCTCAGTATTTACGCGCGCTTTTTGGGCAAAAAGAGAACTTCAATGTAAATATTTCTCGGGAAAAAGGCGATCGTTATTACGTCCAAACACTGCACAACGATCTTTTTTCCCATTAAAATCTTTTTTTAGAAAAAAATTGAAGAAAAATGGGCCCGAAAAGCGCGCGTTAGTAATGATGCGAGTATATCGGATCGTGCTCATGCCCCCTGGGCATCCCATAATACCCCTTAAATCTAATAAATTCAATATGGCCGCCGTATCGGTAAAAAGGTTTATTAGAACATCATGTAGATGAAAATATGTAGATGTGTAGATATGTAGATGTAGATGTGAGCATTAGATCATATTTAAATGCTATTTTGCACCTTATAAATAATAAATTATTATAATTATTAAGAAACCCAGAGTTCCAAGTGGGATGCCAACCCACGACCCTCCGTAGCCTAGTCAGATGCTCTAACCACTTGAGGTGCTGAAGGCTCTGTGGTGAGCAAGGGTATTTTTGTGGGTTATGACATACGAACTGCATCACACAGTCAAACAACCAGACCTTAACGACTTAACTGCATCTCGCAGTCATATTAATGATCAGTAACAACTGATAATAGAACCATGCATCCATCCAACTAGCCATAGTGCTGATAACGTAAATAATAATAAATTATGTGGATGAGAATCAACCACAAGAAACCCAGAAAAAAAATCTGACTTCCTCAGTGTCATTAGTGTGGAGCGGCCGGGGGGAGGGGGGGCGGGGGGTGAAAACACAGACCTGTGTCTCTCTCGTTAACCGTCTCTAGCCGCGGAGTGCAATGAGAGTTTTGGAAAATTGTCGTTCCGCGTGCAATCCTTTTTCCCTGCGTCTGGTTTTGTATCATTTCGTGGCTCATTTCATAAAAGTTTAGTGTAGTGTATATTATGTACCTTAACTTGGGGCATCCTTCAGATGTTCATTATTTCAAATTATTTTCTGCATCATGGTATTTTGTTTGCAAACAAACAACTCAATTTTTCTTTTGAACACTTCACGTTTGTTGTTGTGTTATTTGTTCAGATGGGCCAACCAAGGACTTGATTTCTTGACGGTCGCCTGTGATCCCAAGACTTTGACAACTTTGACCGAATCTGAATTCCAGGTGATAATTTATATTTGTATTGTATTGTTTAATTGTTTGGTGGGGGAGGGGTGTGGGGGTTCGAGTTGCAATTGTGCAGGGACTTCCCTGAATGTTCGTGACATGTCTATATTCGAGTTCAGTAATTTGTAATCGAAGAAAGTGAATACGATCTTCGTAGCTAATTGAACAACCCAAGAGGTTATCACATCCAGACCTTTGCGATTACCAGACGCAACGCTTTATCTAATTGAGCTAAATCAAACCAACTGGAGAACAGGCCACGTCAGTACATGGCAATAGTTTTGGAAATACCTTCTTTGACTGGTCAGATGAACTACTGTACAGTCAAAATTACCAGAGCCTTTTGCGCATCCTTACTACAGTCGAACCTCCATGTGCGATCACCTCCCCTAAGCGATCTCCTCTCCAAAAAGCCAAGATTTTCCCAATCCAAACCTTACAGCTGGAACCTCTCGTAAACGACTTGTTAGCTACCGCGACCACTTTTCGGAGATGACGGTTTAATAATTTAACCCGTTGTAAGCGACCACGTGACGCATGATCTGATCTCTATGTTCTTCCAAGCTACTGTGTTTCTTAGAGTATACAAAGAACGTTAAACGACAACATGGAATTACACATATCTTAACTTAGAAACTGCTTGCAATAAATTATCTACTGTAAAACAGATGCCGGTCTCCGAACCTCTTCTTGGAAGTTACTCCCTTTGGTTCTATTCTTGTAAACGACCACCTCCCATAAGCGACCAGTGAGTCATCGCATTTTGGGTGGTCGCTTTACACGGGAATGTAAATGATCATGATCAAACTGATTGCTTTTTTCTTATTTTTTTTTTCTTTCCAGGAGTTAAAGAAACAGATTAACACTTGCATCTGTCACGTGATCGGTAGTGCGGAGTCCTGTAGTGGAGCAAACAGTCCAGGTATTAAACAAGTTGTCAACAGCATCATGTTTTCTTTCTTCCTATTATTCATTTTTTTAAACAAATTTATCTCTAGCCTAGTCTCTCTCTTTAGATATTCTGTTAACATGTCTAAGAATTTTATTGTTATTTCGAGTTCTTCAACTTTCTTATGTTTAGCGAGGCAAAGTCAAAGATGTCTTTACCAACTTGGCTGTAGGAGTTTCACAGCTCCAAAAATAAATAATTTCTACTGTAGTGATTTAATTTGAACGGACTATAATTTATAACCACTTTTTAGAATTGTTACTTTAAAAAGCAGATAAATTTAGTTTATTTTAAATTCAATCTTCAAATAAAACCTTTTCAAGCAAACGAATTTTTTGCTGTCCAATTATGACTTCAGTTGCTTCAGTTGTTTGGGAAATGCCATCGAAGAAAGTATCAGTGATATACAGTAAAAACCTGCGACGAAGAACCTGGTTTTTAGGAACTCGTTAGGCTAAAATTTGCCAGTTAGACCCCCTCTATACAAGAACCTGTTTAGCCTAAAATTTTAAACGGGTTCATATTGTCTAAAATCTATTTTAGAAAATTCTGTACACTTAAGCAAATAAGATAACTCAACATTCAGGATCTCTTTGGAGTGATAGGTGCTTTATCACTCCAACTGCAGTTGTAATGGTATACCTAATGAATGCGCTGAATACATGTGCCACTTAATACTCTTAGCTACGAATTTTTTTTTTTTTTTCCAGAAAATAAAAACCTAAAAACCCTAAATTTGTGCTAATTACCATTACTGTAAGAACCCGTTTAGGCTAACTTGGGACAATGCAGGTTCTTAGTCGCGGGTTTTTACTGTGTATGCTGTTCTTCGAGTTCCCACTCAATGAACTGATTCGACGTGACGTGGCCTCTTATTTTTATTTTGTTAGGCTACCGGTCTCAGAGCCCCGCTTGTCCATCCCCGGTCTTTGGGAGAAATCCTTCATCGTCCTCTTCATCCTCGTCATCATCAGCGCTCTTGAGGGCAGTTTCATGGCCGGGAGGAAAGACACCAAAATCCGGAGGGGACCAGGGTGAGGGAGATGATGGTCAAGCTACAAGACGACAGCTTTCAGACCCTCCTCACAGCAAACAACAGTTTCAGAGTTTAGCAACTGATGTTAATAACGCAAGTAAGTATCACAAAGCAGCATCCAAACACCGTGCGTCAGTGATGCCCGATTCATACAGAGAGCTCATTTAATGTCGCAGTCCTGTGAGAAATGAAGTAAAAAAAATGATGAATAAAAAGAGGTGGTAGATCAGGGAATAAAGGGGAAAGAGTTTGTATTTGTCACGCTGAGAACATAAGACAAAGAGATAACTTCTCCTTACGAGGATTGAACTCGTGAATGAATTTTGTTGTTTATGAGGGAAAGCAAAGTGTCGACTGCTCCCAGTCGAGCTCATTTTCTACTTTACGTCGCGAGAGTGCCAGCTGGTTTTTTATTGGAGCAAATTATTAAATTGGTTTCGTACCCAAAACAAAACAATAGTTTTGGCCAATCACGAGTGAAACGATTAGTAAAATTAACCAATCAAAACTTAAATCAAACATGCGCACCCGGCTCCAAGCGCTGGAAATGCCTCAAGCAATTGACGATCGGTCAATGATTTTGTGTGTTTGGTTTTTTTTATGATTTTGTCTTTTTGCTTCTGATTGGTTGAGAAAATGACGCGGGGTTTCTTAACCAATCACAAAGCGTGGCAATGCGAAATCAAAGCTATTACGAAATTATCACGAAAATTAATAGCCTTGGAATGCTCGTTGCATAAAATGGGAAGAATAGAAACTGGTTGAGGAAAAAAGCTTCTCTTGGAGAAGGTAAATAAATCGTTCATCTTCCCATAGGCATCAATGAAGAGGACGATAGCGGTGATGACGAAGGAAAGGAGACTCCAAAACACAAAGACAGTTTCGTGGAAACTCCTGGCGCTTCACGGTTGGACAAAGTGCGTCACGCGCTAAAGAAGATGGAGGCCAAGAGGAATGAGTTCTTGTTTGAAAAGCATGCTATCGGTCGTGTGAGTAGCCGACGACGGGATATCGTCAAGGAACTGGCGAGTATTTCCAACAGGAAGGTACCATTCAAGTGGCAACGGGGTAACAAGATAGGTAAGACAGAGATTTTGTAAGTTGTAAATTTCTAGTAGTCTGCTACACAGCCGTTTTTAGTGTCGTCACGCAACGCTTCTCCTGGCATTCGGAGAGATTTGGAGACAGATCGACAAGAGGGACCAGCTCCCAATAGCAAGGTGTCCAGCCTAGTCCTCAGGCCAGTTCGCACTATCCGTGTGAGCGGAGGAGGCTTGGAAACGAGCGCGATAGTCACAAGCTTGCCAAGTGACGTCATATCCTGAGTTTACCTCCAAAATCGCCGAGGACGACAGGGAACGAGGCTGCAATGTGTCAACATTGGTAAAAATTTCTGATAATAACTGCAGGTCTAAGCTTGAGCTTTCAGTTATCTTTAGCTGTTGTTTTAAACCTTGACTTTAAAGTTTTTTCTAGCGACTTCAAACGGGTTTTCCTTAATTTTTGAGATTCAAAGCAAGTTTTTCGTTTCGTCGGCACTAGCTGGTGTTAACCATCTGTCATTCTTGTTACAGGTGAAGGTCAGTTTGGTAAAGTGTACGCTTGTGTAAATTTGGACACAGGAGAGCTCATGGCTGTTAAACAGGTATGTTAGCCTTGAGGAGGACAATGCCACGTTTTTAATTATCCAGGAGAAACGTAGATCCTAGCAATGGCTAACAGAAATGAAGAAGGGATTGGGATATTGTTACCACGCATTTTCAGAAAGTGGATTTTCACTGTAGCACCCCTTTCCTCGATCCACCTTCTCCCTCTTGGTCATTACCCTTACAAGACATATATCTTAAATATGTTGATTTTCCTTGGTTATAAGTGCTACCACTTTCAAATAGCTGCTGTTTGCAAGGATTTTGATTGAGTGTTTCTTTTTTTTATGTGTGTGTGTTTGTTCAGATCAAGTTTCAGCCAAATGATCATGGTGAAATAAGAGAACTGGCCGATGAGATAAAAAACTTTGAAGGCATTAGACATGAAAGTCTGGTTAAATACTACGGAGTTGAGTTGCACAGGGTAAGAATCTTAAGTTTAAGCTTTGAGTCGCAGGAAAGTAGCGCTTTTAAGCTTCCGTTTGAATGGTTGTAGTTGAGGTTTTCATTCACAGTCTGGTAAGTAAGCGTCACATTGAAAAATGAGTTCCACAACAAATTGCTTCTAAGGAAATGTGTTTTTGAATGGCCACACTTTAGGACACTTAAAGTACCAGAGGTTTTTTCTCGCTTGCGACTAGGAGCTTCTTCGGTCTCAGGCCGACACGTCTTCGGCCGAAGGCCGAAGACACGAGTCACTTTTTAAGACTTAACCGAAACCGGAAACCGCGCATGAAAAGCCTCTGGCACCCAGGGTAACTTGAGGATTTCATCCCGGATGAAATCCTTAAGTATGACCATTATATATCTTAATAATTAAACAGCACAAAAGGAAAGTACTGTTCAGTTGCTTCCATGGACTCAAAAGTTAGAGCCACTATGTACAACTTATATGCATGTACAATAACCACAGTAGAGTTTATCCACAATTTCAGGAGTGTCCGACTTAGTAGCTTCTATGCACATAGTCCAGCATTTAGCCCTTCAAGCCCCAAGATTCACATACAAATTCTCTAGACTGATCTCTATACATTTCTTTTAAGAATAGTTGAGAGAATTTGGTTTAAGATCAAAGCGTTCTCCCTTTGGTAATCACTGTAGTAATTCTCATAAACTTTACTCTTGATAATCTGCTGATGTTGTTAGGAGAAAATTGATCTTAGTCACTCTTGGGAGCTGAAGGGTTAAGGATGACACCAACCAAGAATTTAGCTAATAAATTAAGCCGTGAAAATGCTAAAATGTTGAATTTCACTCCCCAACCGACACAGCACTACAGTTTCTTTAGAAACTAACCCACTTACCAACTTCACATTGTTTTGTTTTTAGGATGAGATGTTCATATTCATGGAATACTGCGCAGACGGTACCATTTCAGATGTGGCCAAGCTTGGTCTTCCAGAATCAATGATCAGAGTGTACACGTACCAGATACTTGTCGCTGTTAGTGTGCTGCATGAGAAGGGCATTGTTCATAGAGATGTTAAAGGTGAATATCTTGATTGGTTCATTCTACTCTCCTAAACTTTTGCGATTGGCTAAAATATTCACCATGGCGTGGCTTTCAAGCTCTAATTAAACACAGCTGTTTTATTTATTTGTTCATAATCTACAAGCAGTACATTCGTCTATAAGGGCCTGTTTACATGGAGGTGGGGCACCCCAGGAAGGTGAGGTAACCCGCTCAGGTGGGGTAACCCTTCTGTCCATATAATCTCTCATTTTAATTTGATCACGTTTAAATGATAGGTGAGGTGACCCGCCGCATGTTACCTCACATATCTGCGGTCCCCCACCTCCATGTAAACAGGCCCTAAGTTGGTCTAATGAAACAACTTTAGAAATTAAAATTCGATCAGGAATGTGGTAGTAGAAGAAGAACCAATATGTAAATGTCTTCCAGTAAATCGTTATTAATATTAATTTACTTGTACGCATTCTTCTGGCGACTCCGCCGCCAAAACAGCACTCCCACGCTAATCCCGCCAGCTACGCCGGGAAATTTAACTATATGCTTATTGTATTTGAACTGTATCAACTGTAACATTCGAAAATATTTCTCTGACATTCGTAATATTGTTTCACTCAGGTGCCAATATTTTCGTCTCATCCGGAGGTCTTCTGAAGCTAGGGGATTTTGGATCATCCATTAAGCTAAAAAATCCCTTCCAGACCTGCTACGGTGAAATCAGCAACATCAGAGGGACAGTGGGTAAGACCTTCTTAGAAACTTAAGACTTTTAGCAAAATAAGGCGTTAGTTTCTCATAAGATTTCACCACATCGCAAGCATTTGCTGCTCCTGACAGTTTGTATTGCAGGACGTTTAGAAAATAAAAGAAAAATTCGTCGCCGCGTGTTAACGGTCTCGATACAACGTTACATGAAGTTTCACCTCGTAGTCGTAAAATTACGTCAAAGAAATGTACAAAAAGTGTGCTGCACGTGTTTATTATCTTACTTATGTGATTCACGCTTTTTTATCCAAGAATTAAATTCCTTGGCGAGACTAGTCAGACAGTTTTTTGCGCTAACAACTACAGCACCATTTGGTAGAAACTGGATTGAAAAATAGCTTTCGCGCCCGAATTGGCTCCAGGAGTCAGTACCTGTTTGTATTTGTCTTAATGATAGGATACTTTATTTCAGCTTACATGGCCCCAGAAGTGATAACGCTGGACAAGGGAGCAGGGTACGGAAGAGCAGCAGATATCTGGAGTATTGGATGTGTTGTGGTTGAGATGGCAACCGGAAAGGTACACAAAACTTTTAAAAACAAGTTTGATACACCCCCTTCCGTTTAGCTCAGGCGTCCGACTGTTGATCTTGTGAGTTGGCTACAACTTTTTGGGCCTGGGCAAACAGAAAAAAAACCACCAAACAGTGTAAAAAAATAACTGGGAACACGATTTTTATTTGAGAAGGGTCAATATATTTCCGAGCCACGCGAAGGTCCACAGTGCAAAGGGAAAAGTCGACTAATTGTCGACACGTAAAACGGACACCGGAGTTGGCCATTTTACGTGGTCAACTTTCTAGAGCCATCTCTCTAAGACGGAGGTCTAGCCGGTCCCAAGGGTGTCCAAAGGGAATACCTTCATTTCTTAGTTATTTTAAGACCCTGAGTAATGGTCCGACCCCGGGAATCGAACCCGCAACCTCCCGCTCTGCAGTCAAGCGCTCTAACGACTGAGCTAATCCTCCCGCAGTAGGGGTCTCTGATTAAGATTTTGTCTCAGTTCAGATGATCACGTCTTCGGGCCTAACATTAAGTCCTTGGCCTTACCATCTAACCCTCGTTGGTCTTTCTTATATGTGAAAGATGTTAGGCGCTTTCCATTCAAAAAATTTTCCGGTGTGAAATTTCGGAAATTCCACGTGCCCAATGGAACAGTCTCTCCCGGTGGCAAAGACCCGACCCAAGGCACCGCGCGTTTGGTTGCAGAATACAAAACAGCGGTACTGGGGACAACAATTTTGTCAAATGGAAAGGGACATTTCGGTCCAACCGACCGAGATAACCAGACCGGTCAAAGCGGGTCCCGAATATGACGGAAATGGTCCGTTCCGTTTGATACATCGTCCGAAATTTCCGGAATTTTGGGTTGAATAGAAAGCGCCCATTGAATCCACACCACTGTGTGTTGTAAGGTAGGGGACCCAGTGTTTGGGCTTTGGCCTTGTTTCAGGCCTTGTTTAGTATTAGAGGACACGAGATTTTTAATTGATGGGAGTTGGAGGACAACTCGTGCAAACCATCCAAGTTGTTTAACCTCCAATACACAGTGTTCTCCCTAAATACATACATCTCCACCAACTCTCGAAGTTACAGATTATTTTTTCATAACCCTTACTGTCATGGCGTGTTATTGGTTAAAGGAGCAGTATCACAATATATTTAGCCAATTTTAGTAAACAGATGGTCATAGGTTCAACTCATATTTGGAGTACTCCGAGCCGTCTGTGTCAATGACTGAACGACATCTTTCTCAAGATATATGGCATTAGAAATTGCTGACCCTGTGTATGTCTTTTCTTGAAGCCTCCTTGGCCTGACTGTGACAACAACTTTGTGATAATGTTCAAAGTAGGAGAAGGAGCTACTCCTGCTATCCCAGAAACCCTTAGTGAAGAGGGACAGGATTTTCTACTGTGCTGCTTCCTGCATGATGCGTACGCGCGACACACTGCCAATCAACTTATGGACCATTCGTTTGTCAAGGTAGATCTATAAGGTAGATGATTCTACTCATCTTCATCATTCTTTAGGCTAATTTTTTACGTCTAGTTATTGGGCTGCCCTAATAGCCCAATCGAGAAATGAGCGCCCTGCCTTTCTTGCCTTTCCTGTGCAGCAAAAAGACATTAGAGAGGTCAAGCATCGTGTTTACGTCAAACGGCAAACGAGAGTTTGTACCACTTAACATGCCTTGATGATTGTCGTTTGTATTCATTATTTCTTTACTGTTATAGAGGCGATTTAAAAAATTTTCGCGAAACCGGTGTCAAAAATGAAAAAGCCCACTTCCGGGTTGACGTGCGGAAAAAACGTTGGGTCTGGTACCGAGAAACGATGTTCGTCAAATGGTTTCAAATGAGTTTTTGTACCACGTGACCAAGTTTCCCCTTTACTTGTCGTTTACTGTTCATTATTTCTACTCATAAATTAGACGTTTCACGCAATTTTTTGTCCATAAGAATTGTTTTGAGCTGGTTTTATCCGCTCATTTTCTATTTTGAGAAATTTTCACCTGGAATCTGACGTTTGCCGTATAGAAAACGGATCAAATTACGTTTCCCGTCTCCCCTCCGCTGCGTAGAGGATTGAGGGAGAGAATTTTCCTGAACACCAAACAGCAAAGAGTTTAAAGTTTAATGATTAGGGCTAGGAAACCGAGACTGAGCGAATTGAATCCCATTTGGAGTCCTTAAACAAGCAACGTGAGACTAAGATTCCTTTACACTGGCGTTCGGCGTTGTGCAAATACTCTTGACGTATCAAAGATTTGCTAGACTACGAGTAGTCTCCCAGCTTTCCTCAGGGATAGTAGAGCGAGCGAAACGCGAGCGCGCGTGAAAATCACCGCACCCGAGGAAAGGCCATTTTTGTCTCTCCCCGCCGCGTGTCGCCTTTTCTCGGTGAGGTGATTTTCACGCGCGCTCGCTCTGCTATCCTTGAGGAAAAATTTGGGACTACCCGTAGTCTAAAGATTTGCCGGTGAGCAAATCCAAATATTATGCTAGCACGAATTCAAACTTCAGCTTCAGCTCTCGGATCCTAGCAATATTTGTAACCATTTGATTATTGCTGAATTCATGCCCGTCCCCCTACCCTAAGTGTCAGAGACTTTTCACGCGCAGTTTCCGGTTCGGTCACGTTATCGTTACTTCTCAGTCGCCGCATGCAAGAAAAACCTCTGGTATCCCAGGTACATCTGTCGGGTATTTGCCACAATAGGTTCCTCTATCTTCTCCCCCTGCCGCCGCGCACTAACCGACTGTGCTAATCCTTGCTTTTCACCACATGTTAGAGAATCCGTTATTGTGGAATCGGGGAAAATTTTGCTTGTGGATTCCGGAATCCTAGGCTTTGGAATCCGGAATACACCTCACAAAGAATCTGGAATCCCACTAGCGATTGGAATCCAGAATCCAAGTTCCACTCAGAAAGACTGGAATCCAGCACCTTGAATCCGGAATCCATGGCGTGGAATCCGGAATCCAAGACTGTCTTGGATTACCTTTTATGTGGAGATGCTTTTCTTGATTTGTTAACAAGACACTGGCTTTGCAGAGGTTATAACTTATCGCTGTTTATTTTACCTTTTCAGTGTTGTTGATGAGGAAGCAAAGAATTCAAGAGAGCATTTCCTTTTAAAATGTAAGAGAATGGCAAGTTACTCACCACAGAGATATACTCCGAGGCTTGACGACAGCTCCTCTTGTGGTACCGTGACTTCAATCTGTGTGGCATACGTGTAAGCCAGAAGGCACGGAAATCACATATCGTACCACAATCAGGGTTATAACTTATTATCCTTATAGAGGATATTACATGGCCGTGCGGAGATAGGGAATTTCTCTCCTCAACACGAGAAAATAAATTTCGTATCTCCAAGCGACCATGTAATGTTCTATTTATTATATAAACACCAATGAAATACCAAACTATTTCACTTAAATAGGCGCGATTTATTATGCAGCCATAGCAACGGTGATCTTTTCACATGTGAAGATAACATGTTGTTTCACTTGTGAAGATAGGTTTTCGCGCGAAAGCTCACCAAGTATTTCATTGGTGTTTATAAAATAAAGTGTTTTCTTCAGTAATTTATATCAAGAAAATTAGCTTATCTCTCCCCCTCCCCCTTCTGCCCGAAAATTATGGCCTTTGTCTTTATTTAAGCATGTGTTGTGTGCGTGGAACTTGATTTTTTAGGGTTTAAGATGTATATTACTCCATATGTGCAAGTTTTAGTGCCATACGTGTATATAAGGCGAATGGTGAAGGGTCAAGACAGTTTTATAATGTATTTTTTATTACGTGAAAGCGATGTATGTAAAATACTCGGTGGCCTTTCCTAGAGGCAAATTTGCTCCTCTGTGAATCAAATATTTTTGTATGGCAAGGAAAGCTCTTAGTTGCTGACAAAGTTGTTATTATGAGATTTACTGAGTTTTTACCAGGGCGTCATTAATTTCAACTACAAGAGTTCTTTTCGCTTCCATTTTATATTTCAATTTAGTAATACTAGTGAGATTTCATTGAAAAAATGTGCGATTTGCGCAAGAAAACAAAATCCTAAAGAATTCTGGTAGCTGTTTTAAAATGAAGTCATAGTACAAGTGGCTTGTTGATCACAGACATGAAAGCGCAGTTTACACAATGCGATCTTTTTCGTCAAAATTTCGGTGTAGTCTCTAATGAATTTTACACATACCATAGTAAGCGAAGTAAGGTGGATTCATGAGCCTGGTTTTTTATGAAATAGATTTTCCCCAATTTTCTTAATTTCTACCCTTTCTACGGGGGCAGTGAAATCGGGCCGACAAATTGTACCGTGTTAGTATTAGTAAGCCGGCCCCTTTCAAGTGAGGTACAGATCAGATCCAGAAATCGCATCGTGTAAACAGGCCAAGGAGTACTTTGGATATTTGGATGCTTGAAATGAATTTTGATGAACTAGTTTGTCTCTTAGTGAGTCATGTTTCATATACTTACATAAAACTTTTAAAGTCATAAGTTAAGATTTTTCTTGAGCGCATGATGTCTTGAAGAAGAATTAAAATTCTTATAATAAGAATTTTTCATATTTACAACCCCATTAAACATAAAATAGCCGTCCTCAGTTGGTATACCATTTAGCACAGTGAGATATGTTTTTAAAACTAGAGGTAATCATTGCTTAGGGATCCGCGTTCGTCACTCGAGTCGAAAGAATTCCTGTTTCCCGGCCGAGATGCCCCTGATAAAATCAGTGGGGGCGGCCAATCGGCAGTCGCTCCCGATACCTCGAAAATTTGTGGCTTGACCACAGGAACACCAAGATTGGGATGCTTTCTGACGAACGCGAACAGGAATGCCTGTGCAAGTAACTGCCACCGTGCAGGCAGGTTAGTTGACAGTGATTACACCGAGGCACGTCTCTTTGCTATATGTTTTGTCATGGCCTCACTGCTGTCTCAAACATAGGGGTCATGAGAATGAAAGAAAATAATAATAAAACGTAAGATAAATATTACGCACTTTAAAACTTTAAACATTTTCTCCTTATTACTCCTTATCACCGCCAAAAAATTGAGGTTGGGGTTTAAGGGGTAAAAATTAATGAACATTGATGTAAAATTTATACCTTTTTCGATTAGTACTAAGTATAACGTTCCATGGAAGATAATAATAATAATACCGTTTTCTTAACTTAAGAAAATTTTGAGAGGGTATATGCATGCATCCAGACAAAATTTGTCTGGTTGATACGTAATTTGTAGCACGGTTTTGCGAGCGACCTCCAGATATGACTAGGAGTGACAGAGTGAGTTCGAGTACGACGCTTTTTCTGAAAACGTCATTTGAAACTAGGACCGTCCGCCTACTAAATTGTAGGAGTCAGTGTCTGTTGTTATCCATAACGGGTATAAGGAAATAAAACAAAAAAGCAATCGGGCCGGAACCCGAGTCATCATACTTTTATTCATACACTATTTACAGGTAGCCATTACAACACCTGAAAGAGGATCATGAGGTTATCCCTATATTAAGATCTCTCCTTATAGGTAACCCACACAGCCCAGGAAAGATTGGCCACACCAACGGGCCCCCTCCTCTGTTTGAAAAGTCGGCTGTGGGTCTGTTTCTTTTAAGAACCAGAGTGAAAGTGTTGTGAGACTGGACCTACGGTTTTTCGTCCTTATCCGAGAAGACTAGAAGGTCTAACCGTTTGCAAATGTCATTGCAAAGGCAGCACTTTCTTCTCAGTTATTTAAAGACCCTAAGTTTTGGTCTGCGGGGTTTAAACCCGCGACCTCCCGTTCAGCAGATGGGCGCTCTCCCAACTGAGCTAACCAGGTGGCGGTCTCAGCGTTTTACTGACACCCTTTCCAGAACAAACTCTTGCGCCTAAGGAGGTAATCATATCATTTTTCACACTACGTGTATCCCTTAATTGAACCTCGCTATCTCTTTGTCAGCATCAGGGAAAAGGAAGAGTTCCGAGGACGTAACAGGCTTGAAATTTAAAAGTCGTACTCGTACTTGATCTCGTACTCACAGTCAAATCGTAGGCTACTTTTACACTGGCGGAGATTATACCACATTCTTTTTGCCGTTTACACTCACATGTGTGAATACAAACTAAAACATCCCGGTTTGGTCGCGTGTCTGGAGATTTTGGATACGGAACCCTAAGTGTATTTTTTGTACTCAGTACACGCAAATAAATTTTCTCGGATCAACTGATGTAGGTAAATTCTAGACTCGCGTCCGCATGCGTAGAAACTCGTGAGGTGGACTTGTGGTAAGTCTAGCAATGGCGGATGCAGACCTTCAGATAAGGAGGGAGGGCCGGTCATCCAGACCCTGAGATAAGGGCGGGCCCGGTCTCAAACAAATTTTTTGGGCCTTCGGGCCTTAGTTTGGTCTAAAAATAAGGGGGAACCCGGACACCCGGGTCCGCCACTGTCTAGGTAAATTCCTGCGAATCCGGAAACATTTCTTAATCCGGAAAATTGTCCTCTGGTGTAAATCTAGCCTTAAAGTCGCTGTTATTATTATAATTATTTTTTTAATCAAAAAATGCGCGCTGCCGCCCGCGATAAACGACTTGTAGCTCAGAGTTGAAACTTCTCGTCCCTATGGACACCTCATGACAGCTTGAGTGGCTCTGGGGGTGAGAAGGAGAATTGAAGTGCTTTGTCAAACACTGTAAATTTCAAGGAATAAAATTTAAATTATTTAGTTAATGAAGAATTACACCTGTCCTGTTTTGAGTGGTAATAGAACTGTGCACTGTGCAAGAGCTCGCTATGAGATAACTTGTCCCTCTGGCCCTCGAGTATAGGAAGTTTGAGTACATTTTGCGTTTTGGAATATTCCCACCAAGAGGCGCTGACCACCGCTTTTTTTCTGCGTGGTCAAGATGTGCAATGTTAAAAACAGCCTGCACAACAGGTTGTTACAGTTAGTTTTCTTCGGTGCATACTGGGATTAAATTTCTCTGGCACACAAATTTACCTAGTTTTCAGGCAAGCTATTTGCCTTGTTTTCACGTGTAAACCATGTGACATCACACAGACTGCTCGCGTTCTAGCCACAGTCGAACCAGGGGCCCGTTTCTCGAAAGCCCCGGTAACGTTTCGGGCCCGAAATCAAATTTTCAAATCGAAATATAAAGAATAAGAGCGCGGGTTCTGGCTAGCAAACAACTCCATTTTGTTTCACTAACTGATAGTTTTATCATGTTAGATGCAAAACTATTGAAACCTCTACCTTGCATGTAAACAACAACAGCTTTACGGGCCCGTTAATTATCGGGACCTTCGAGAAACGGGCCCCAGGGCGGATGGTCGAACCCCGCTTTACGGACCTTCCGCCTCATTATTGCTTTGTCTCTAGGGAAAGCCCTTACATTTTCTCTAAATTCAATTTGCTTAACACGGACACCCATTAATGCAGACAACCAACACTTGTTTATTATTGATTATTGCCTAACCAACAGATTATCGTTGAAAGTCAGCCTCGCTAATGCGTCATGAGCCAAGCGAGGCAGACGGGCATTTCGCGCGAAGCAGGAGGCGAGGAGAGAAGAAAAATAAAGCGGCGCTTTTCAACCTCGTCCCCAGGGCGCTTTTCCCTGGCTTTGAAGGTGGGGCGGGAAAAGGCCCTGGCATCGGCCGGCCGATCCGTTATTTTGATTGGTTGATTGATTTAGGTAATTCATGTTTTTTTTTCTCGTTTCCCTCACTTGCCTCACAAAGCGCCTGTTATGCAAGCTAGTCCCTGACCGATTAGGGTGAATTGTAGATGTCAAGGGAGTCAGAGTATGTTGGCATCAAACGAGTTATTCAGAGAACGGTTTTTTATTAAGTAATCTATAAATGAGCGACTTTGGATTATTTGCATGAACATGGTCCGCAGAATGATGGCTTTGTGAACAGGTTAGAGACGTTTTATTTGACGGTGCTATGTCCTGTTTAGTCATGGGCTCCTGCCTGTTTTACTTCTTTAGTATTATATTTTCAAAGAAAAGGTGTATTTTTACTTTTCCTATTTATATTCACGACTAAGAGACGGGAATGGGTGTGCAGCTCGAACTAAGGAGTGTTTAATGCCGTCCAAATATCATACAAAGTTCAACATCATAACTAAAGAATGGTATACAAATAGGCCTAAATAAAGTCACTCAGGCTAAACTATTCACGTGCGCCGCCTGATACGAAAACCCAAAAACCCAATGGAAAAAAATTGGGAACGTATTCCCCAACCGATGCGGTCGCACAACCTCTGGGGGTTAAAGGTAAAAAATCAATCGATAGATGAATAAAGTAAGATATAAAAATAAAAGTTGATAGTTCGAGAGCTGAGATGAATACATTACAACTGTCAAAACCTTATATACCTAATAACAATAGAGTCAATTAACGCCATAGCGGCTCACGTACGTTCATACCAATAGGAAAGTATTTACATTCTCTGTCACTGCCACTACGTTTAGCTCCGCCGAATGTAAATACATTTCCTATTTATATTCACGACTAAGAGACGGGAATGGGTGTGCAGCTCGAACTAAGGAGCGGCTGAGAAAACAAAGAACGGGAAACAATTACAGTCCAAGAGACATAGAGACCGCTAATTGGCTCTCTAGCGAATCTGCAACGTAGCCATCCTTAGCGTTTTCCGAACGCCATCTACCGTGGCGCTTAAACATTCTATCAGAGATACCACCATTAGCGGCGGCAGATGCACCGCCACTTCTGAAGCTGTGCCAAGAGAAAGACTTAGGATCTAAGCCTACGTCTGCAATCTTCTTCAGTAAAACTTCTCTACATCTTGTATAAGACAGTTTGGAGCCTGGGCGGATGGACTGAGAGCCAGACTTGGTTTGAATATTTCCGAACAAATAGTCGTCTCCACCTTGGGAAGATGTCGGTAACGTGAGTTTGGCTTGTGATAAATACTTCTCTAAATTACCCCAGGGGCAAAGATCCGTGCCAGACTTGACAATGGGGACAATAGCGCCCTCGCGATATTGATCAGTTTTACTGCTTTCTAAAAAAGTTCAAAATGAGTGTCATGCAGCGCTAAATCCTTAAGCTTCAGATTAGCCAATTCATCAAATCTTAAGAACCCCGCAAAGACCAATAACGCCATGGCCATGAATCTTGTGTCCACCAAAGATCCATCGAGACTCTGAAACAACTTTTGTAAAATTTCGGGTGTAATGGGGAGCTTTTTGGAAGTAAGGTGTAGTAGCCTTCTCTTAGCGGACTCCACGACCTTCAGGGGAAGTGTATGATTGGTAGGAGAGTCGAAACCAGCAATATCATGAGCCCAGCGAATGCTATAGAAGGCGTTCTGGACCGGCGCAGGAGAACTAGAAGCCTGGAGAACACTGAGCAGGTATAAAGAAACATAAACCGGAGTAGCAGGCAGCACTGCGACCTCGGGAAATCTGTTGGCCCAAGCACGCCATCGCTTAAAACCGTTGAGGTAGGTGAGAGTAGTGGAATCTGCCCTGGAACCAAGGACTATCTCCGGTAGCTTTTCTGCTAAGCAGCGTAGGGAGGGAGCTTTGACATCGTTAAGCTCAGCCCACATAGGGCTAGCGAAAACATCTGAAAATACAGAAGAAATAGAAGACCATATGGATTCAATGTAAGGACTTAAAAAAGGAAAGATGCACGAGAAAAAAAGGAGCGGTAAAAGGAAACGCACGTAATAATTATGTAGATATAACTATCACACAGGTACATAAGATAACAAGAGAGCGACCACCGAGGCGCACTCGACCATATATGGGGGACCTGGAAGGATTAAAAACTGACCGAGGTCACACAAAAATGTAACGGTACGACCCGTTGGGATCAGTGAAGGTACAAACAAGGTCACCGAGACCCGCATAAATGCCACCGAGGCAAAAGAAAAAACAGAACAAATCACTCAAAATAATAAACCACACTTAAATATAGGCTAAACAAGGTAACTACACGTAACTGCGGAAAGGAAACTAAGCCTAGAAGAACAAAACTAACAAGCCGACAAACGGACGGCTAATACATGAGACTTAAATTTAGGGCCATCAAAAATAGACTCTGTAGAGCCCGGAACAAAAATATTAGAAACATTGGTAAAAACAATGGTCTCTTAACGCAAACGGAAAAGGAGGAATGGGGACCAAAGAGCATGGGCCAAAATGGAGCTGAGACCCACTTGGGGACAATAAGAGTGCCCATAGACCTACATACAAACAAATGCCTAATAACCCGGGGAACAAGGGACACTGGGGGAACAAGCCAGTTATTCTCCCCCGCCCAGTCAAAACAAAAGGCATCCACCCCCTCCGAGTCAGGATTCCAGAAACGGGGAAAGAATCTCGGTAATTTGCGGTTACGGGAATGGGCAAAAACGATCTACGGAATGTGGACCCCAAATGTTGTCTACATGGTGGAAAAATTCAAACGAAACACCCCAGTCATCAAAATCAACGATCCTACTTATGGCATCAGCGTGCTCATTGAGAGACCTAGGAATCCAGTCCACCTGCAAATCAATACCATTTCGCAAAACTAGTTGTAAAATAGAGAGGGAAATTTCGTGCAAATCCCGCTTCATACTCCCGTTGCGAATAATGGACGGAATGTTGCGGTTATCCGTGAACCATTGAACTGCGCGCCCTGACAAAACTACGGAAAAACTAGAGAGACAAATATAGACTGCCTTAAGCTCACGCCACGTGGAGCTGCGAAACATTTCATTAGCAGTCCACGGAAGATGACAAATAACACCCTGGTGGTCTTTAACAACACCGCCAACCCCTAGGTCACTAGCATCTGAATAAACAATGGAACGAGAACATGAAAAGTGACGCCCAATGGGCCTCCCATTCAAACACCGAACGTTCTCTTTCCAGAAAAAAAGCTCTGCTTTGACAGAATCGGACAAAGGAAACCTAGAGTCCCAATTGGGCCGAAGGACGATGGACATATGAATAAACTTTGTCATCAATGTAGTAACATTACCTACAGCTAGTTTAAAGGAATTAATACGACCAGCAAGAGCGGACAGTTCCCTGGCGGTGCAACAATTAGCCTCTAAAAGGGAATCAATATCAGAAACAACCCGCTTGAGCTTTATCCCCGGAACAAAAAGCAAACCCTGAAAAAGATCAATGGTGAAACCCAACCAATCAAGGACTGATGTAGGAACCCAAACAGATTTCTCGAAGTTGGGTACAAAGCCAGAACGAACCAAATCAGTCTTAACCCTGGTGGAATGGGCTAAAGCAACCTGATGTGAAGGCCCCTCCCCTAGACCATCATCAAGATAAACAACAATGTGAATACGATCCAGCCTCCAGTAGGCAACGAGAGGCCTAAAAATTTAGTGAAAACAAAAGGGGCTGAACAGAGGCCGAAGGGCAGGACCCTAAAACAAAAATAACGGACCTTACCCTGATAAAACCAGGAAAAACCCAAAAATGTCTGGTGGGGTGGGAAGATAAGCACAAGATGATAACCGCTCTTAATGTCAAATGAAAACATGAAATGACCCTTGTCAAAATAATTTAGAGCAACCTTAAGATCCTCAAACTTGACCTTTTGCTTCCAGACATGCTTATTTACAAACCTAAGATCCAAAATCAACCTCTTTTTCCCAGATGACTGAATAGAAACGGAAAGAGGGTTGACGTTATGGGGCAGCACCTCCGATTCAAAAATGCGATTGGTAACCAACAATTCGGAAATAGCTTCGTTAACAAAATCAGAATGAGCCAAAGCTGACTTATTATTACTAGAAAAACTAACAGGGGGTGTAGAGTGGAAAGGAATACGATAACCATGCTCGATAACATCTAGAATAAATTGACTGGCACCTATAGAACGCCAAAACTGAATATGGGATTTAAGCCTACCGGCTACAACGATAGTAGAACTACGACCCTGTTCATATTCAAAAAAGTCAAAATCATCCTCAACAAAGTTCCTTAACTTATCTGTGTCCTCGACGAATGCACCAACATCCCAGTCCATCACGTACGTTTCCCAGGTTGGCTAGCTGAAAACTGCGTCTGAAGGACGGGGCACTGATTCCTGAAATGGCCGAAACTGCCACAAGCAAAGCAACTGCCAACACGCGAACCACGGTGAGCCTTAGGCCAATTGACAGCACCGAACGGATTCGAAAAATTAAAACCTTCCTTTAACTCTTCCAAGACCTTTTCAACTTGAGGCGAAGACGCCTGAAGGGCGGTCGAAGCAGAACGAACGTGTTCAAGAACTTCAGAATTAAGTAAGAACTGCTTTTCGTTGCCTTTCTTTTTAAATTTCGGAACACTAGCAGTAGCTGTCTTGAGCTTCTTCAGCGCAGCGTCGTGTTCTTGTGCAAGTTCTCTCTTTAAAGAAGATAAACCAGAACGAAACTCGTCTTTGAGCTCGGAAATGCTTCGCGCGAGATCAGCATCGGACGGCATTTTAAAAGTTGATAGTTCGAGAGCTGAGATGAATACATTACAACTGTCAAAACCTTATATACCTAATAACAATAGAGTCAATTAACGCCATAGCGGCTCACGTGCGTTCATACCAATAGGAAAGTATTTACATTCTCTGTCACTGCCACTACGTTTAGCTCCGCCGAATGTAAATACATAAATTATGACCCGCTTAATACGGACACTTTCTGGATCATTTTACGTTTCTGAGAAACTGCTTCCTTACCCCTCCCCAAAGCCAACATTAACACTTACTTCGCACTTGGGGGAGGGGTAGGTAAGCAGCTTCCCAGAAACGTAAAATGATCCCACTTTCTATGGGCCCCTCAGTGTCCGTAACGGGGATTGACTGTATTTTCCTGTTGGGTATCTGGTAAATAATGGGAATAGAAAATCGAGAATGACAGCCATTTTGCCTGTAAACCTAATTTACCATGTTTACACGCAAGCCTGTTAACTCATTGTCATGGAAAAACCATGTGGCACCGATTCAGCCCAATGGCTTCCCAGGCTCATACCAGACTCCTCGAACTCAAATTATAAGGATTTGTAAAGGATTTTACCGTGTGTTCAATAAAACGGTAAAATGCAAATATATTACCATTTAAGTGTACATAACTCACAGGCTTGTCGGGATGAAAGTGTAGTTTTTTTCCTATTTCCAACATTTATACATCACGCTCACTTTAACGTATCGAGCACTTTATGTTGTTTTCTTATTTTTTTTCTGCCCCATCAACGCTATTTTAGCGAGTTTTGATGTTCTGGTTTCTGAGACAAACTTAGAGGAGTCTGTTGACATCTCTGTTGGTTCTCAGACAGGCTTTGAGAAGTCTGTTGTGAGGCTGCCCTTTCTGTGACCACACCCGTTCTCTGTTGCCTCATCCTCATAACCATAAGATGGAATCTAAACCGCGCTTTATTTTATAATCTGTGATTATTATTATTATTCATTTAGCACCTTATTACCGTTTGCCTCGCTTGGCCCATAAAGCGCCTGTCATGCAGGCTAAGCCGCGTACAGAATAGCGAGGAGACGCTTTACAATTTTCGCGCGCCTTCAGCTCTCACGCGCACGCAAAAACAATTCCGCCAGATACCCAGTCTGTGAACGAAGCCTTTGGCGAACGGATTCAATCCTAGTCTGAAGCATGTCTTAACAGTGCTTTGAATGAAACCGCCGTCACATGGGCTTATAAATGAACTCCTGCTCCAGTCTGTCTCCGGTCCTATTCGGCTATTCCTACGGTTGGTACTAACCCAGTCAAAGAAGACAAGTTGTTGTTATGGGCGTTGGTCCCAATGCTGTTGTTTGCTTGCTTCCACTCGCTACTCAACTGTGTTCTTTACAGACAAGATACGACGACGCTGACGGCCACGAAAACGTCGCTTGAAAAGCGAATGCGAGTGTTTTTAAACTCTATCGTGATTATTTCAACTCGCTTACTTTGTCAAATGCAAACGAACTCTTCTAGAGCTGAATTCCTAACAACCATATCCAAGTTCAGAAAGAAAAAGAAAATTTTGTCATCGCTTGTTTACGTCCTCTACAAAACGTGAAATTAGGATTTTTACGACGTAGTCTTGCAGTGACGGCAAAGAAATGTACAAGATAGAGTGATGCACGTGCAAAGTTGTTGTTTTACCTATTCAACCTTTTTGACAGTCTCGTTGCCGTCGCCGTCGTGGCATCTTTTAAAATTCCCTTTTATAAGCGAGTGTACATGTTCAGTTACGGTGTTGATGGGTTTTCAACCCCGGGGTGGGGGAGGGGTGATGCCATATATAGGCTATATAAGTATGTGCCGCTGTGAAGGGTATGGTTTTCAAGCAGTTTACTCTAGGATAGGGTATATAAATCACAACATTTGGGTCTAGAATAGGGTATCATTTTTCAGAAAACTGGCGGAGTGATCAGTTGGTTGAAAATTTTATCTAGACTAGGGAAACAGCTACTCTAGGATAGGGAAGATTTAGAGAGTTTACTCTAGTATAGGGTAGCAAAATTTAGCTGAACTAGCTCTGGTATAGGTTAAGGGTTCCAGGGTCCCAGCGGCACATCCCCATCCAGAAATTCCTAAAGTCCCCCCCCCCCGGGGGTTTCATTTTTAAACGCAAACCCTGTGATAAATCAGCGGAGTGAACTTCTTTTAGTCGAAGTTTTCTTAACCGAAACCACCTGTCAAAAAACAAAACTATATTGAGAATCTGTATGTCGACATGAGGTTGAAATGGTAAACGTTCACTGCTTGGTGTTATCTTGTTGTAAAGTACTACCAGCGGTGATTACAACTGATCTACATGTACATGTTCAATTCTATTAATTTCCCAGAACGTAATGACTTAAGAACTTTCCTCACTTCTTCACAGGAGGCCTGCAAACAGAAAAAAATATTCTAAGATCAGACTAAGTCATCTATAATAGAAAACATCCAAATATGAAAGCTGTTGTTAAGGCTTAAGTTTATTGTCATTTTTCTCCTTCTGCTGGTCATCTCTAGAGAAAGCTTCATTTAGGAGGAAGTAGGAAAATAAAAGAGATACTTCCAACACTGACTAATCAAAGGGCCAGTAAGTTCCCTATGACCCAATGTCATCAAAAACTTTCTAGATATTTATTGGTCGATAGTTTGTGGTATCCCACCTAACTACTCAAGAGCCCTGTAACTTTGATTTGACTGGATTGCCGTGCGCCACTCCAATGTCTCTATTACCTTAAGGTTGTACCAATGACTAGAAACTGTGTTACCAGGACTTTTAGAACACTAAAAATTTGCATTCTTGAATGCCAGTGGCTTATAACCCTGCAACACTCAAGGTCGTTTATCATCACATCTATGGCAAACTTTCGAGTCGCATCCTACTTTCGGCAGTATGCCACTCAAAGGGACGTCTGAAATTTAGGCTAACAGCAAATGTCAAATGAACAGATTCTACTTATGGATGAAACTGGTCTATCAAGCCAAATAACATGGCAACCCAAGTTATAGCCTCTTAAAACAGCTACTGTATGGTGAAAAGGTTACACCATCTAGACTAGAGTATGGTGCTTGGTTTGGCCAGGCTGAATTAAAACTTTTAAGTTTAACTCAGCCAGGATTCCAACCAAGATTCATCCACTACAACTAGCTAACTAATAAGTGGAGTTAACCTTTGTGCTCTGAATTAGCCTGTGCCAGGCTCTCGGATAGTATAGTGCGGACATATTAAAACGAGCAAAGCGAAAGTAAGACACGCGACTTGGGAAAGGGGGCGGTGGCGGTGGCGGTCTCTCCCCAGCCCCCGTGCATTTTTCGCATTTCTTTTTACTGAACGACTATCTCGGAGCCTGGAACAGGCTAGCTCTGAATTAAAACAATTTCATATAAATTTCTATTTTACCTGAGGGAAAGAATTCAGAGGAGACATCTTGAGAAGAAACTTAAAAGCTTCCACAGACCTTGAATCTAGATGTGAAGACTCGGTATAACAAACAAACAGAGCTGCTGCCACACTGTGAATCTGACAGTACTGCAAAACTAGAACAAAATGTTTAGTGTTCTCAGTGTGGTATAAAGACACATCATTTCAGTGAGCTCTTAACTTCAAACTGAAAATTTGACCAAATAATTCTTGACAAAATCATATAGTTGCACGACAAGGTGATTGCTCTTATCACAAACATATTACTATTTCCATAAAACCAAGATAAAATCTGATAAACGTTGCACCAATGTTTTTTTTCTCTTGAAGGGTCACTTTGTAACATTGAGTTGACTTCTTTATAATGGTACAACAATACTGGTAGCTACTAGAATTTACATTAATCCTACAACAAGAATCTTTGCACCACCAAGACAGGAATGGCAAAAACAGACCACAAAATTCTGCTTGTGACATCTTATTCATTTCACAATTCAAAGGACCAACTAAGCTCTTGCCATATGTGGGCTATATAGGTATGTGAAGGGTATGGTTTTCAAGCAGTCAAGTCTGCGATAGGTTATAGAAAACAGAGTTTGGGTCTAGAATAGGGTATCATTTTCCAGGAAAATGATCAACTGATAGAAGATTTTAATCTAGACTAGGGAAACCGGGAAATGACACTAAAAAAAATGAAATCAGCTAATTAGAAATTAACCACAACTCAGTTTAATACCAAAGAAAGCGTTGGCATCGGTAGTTTTAGAGAATAGTGGCTCAAGGATAGGTACTGGGGACTTCGGAAGTTTGGTCTAGTATAGGATAAATAGCAAAGTTGAGCTGAGCTAGGTCAGGTACAGGCTGAGGGTTCTGGGGTCGCAGCCACACATCCACACCCCAAAATTCCTTTAGTACCACCCCCTGGGGTTCCTGCAAAGACTTTCCCACAATTAAAAAAGAATATCTGACCTGATGCTGCCTGTCCCTTGATAATGTTTGGTGTTTCCAGATAAGAACATTCCTTCTGTGAAAACTGTTCTTGCCAAACTTTTGTTTTTAAAACCTTAACAAAATCAGATGTAATATTCCCAGGATCTCTGGTGTGGTATTCACAGACTGGAGCTGATGTTAGGATCACAACACGGGAAGGCTTGAGGTTTTGAATTAACTGTAAAATGGATATATTTGATGTAAATTAAGCACGTGAATTCTTGCCAAAAAAGCCATTTCCTTAGAGCAAGCAAAGGGGAAGAACCATTCCAAAAGGCACCAAACTAGTGCTAGACTAGTGAACTAGACTCTGGTCTAGTCTAACAAAAAAAAATTTAGTCGTTAAATATGTCCACATCTCTCTACAAACTTCATGTATGGTACAATGAATGTGACAAATCAGCGGTTCTATCATGACAAGAAAATACTCATGTAAAGTGCGTCGGTTGTTTGTTAATCATTCACTATATTAAAAATCTTCAAAATAAGAAAGGTATTATTTAAATTCTAATTTATAGTTTTGTCATTGAGATTAATCAGATCAATGTGATCTTTTTTGCAATGATTATAACTGGCAGCTAGGAGCAATAATATTTGAGTAGGGTGCTTCACGTGCGAGTTTGATCAGATTATTGCAAACTTCCCAAAAATATGGTATTTGCAACTTATTTAATGGAAAATGCAATTTTGGTGTTGTCCTGGGCCCGGTTCCTGAAAGGCCGATTAGCGCTAATCCAGGATTAAAATTTTGTTGCACTTTTTGTATTTACCTTCCTATGCATTGCTTAGAGTAACAATTTGTTTTATCATTACTGTATCTCAGAGTGAAAACTCAACAGTATTTTTGAAAGCTTGGGTCATGTTTTTAGACAAGAAAACCTTGCTTAAAATTTGGCTTAATCCTGGGTTAAACTTAATCAGCTTTTAAGGAACCGGGCCCTGGGGTGGGGCATTTGCACCCTATTTTTAAGTCCCACCGAGGGGTTTTGTATGAACATCTGGCCCCACCGCAGGGCATTTGCAGCTTTTCCAAAACAAAATGACAAAATGTCCTGGGAGGGGATGGGCATGCTTGGAATTGACTGAGCCATTATTAGATTAATAAGTAAAATTATAAGAAAAGATGTGATCATCATGTCACAAGCATAGGACAAAGAAAAAATCTGAGTCCCTAACAGGAATTGAACCTATGACCTTCCGCACACCGGTCAGATGCTCCATAATTCTTTATTTATTGAACAGATAAAAAAGTAAATGAATGTCTGTTGTTTTAAATTTTAATATTCCCCGACTGGCTGCCAGTCATTACCAGACCTCTCAAGTCTCACGGTTTTGAGGACAATCTCACGGTCTCATGATGAGGCACAAAAATCTCACGGTAAACAGATTCACTAGCTGATGGAATACACTTTTTGAATATGTTCACTTTTGCCTGTAAAATTGATTTGCAGGCGTCAGTTTTGTAGAAATCCACAGTTCTGAGGGATATTTGTCATATTTGATCATCTTGTTGACAAGGTATGGACCTCAAAACCATATTTAGAAGACAAATGCCAAATAAGGTTGTTATTACCAGTTTGTCACATTTAGGTACATTTCGCCCACATTTGTCAAAATGGCTCAAAAGGATGAATATTCAAGACAAAGTTCAAAACAGAATGAAAAGGTTCATATCCTGTTAATCGTATTCTCAGAGATCCATTTTCATTTTTATGTGTTCCCTATGCCTGATTTAGTTCTTTTTGATGTCGTCGATAAAAATCTCCAGGTTTTTCCCCAAATCTCCAGGTTTTTTGGTCTTTTGGGGTTGAGGGGTCTGCATTACATTGTTTCCACTCTTAAATTCACCATGGGATTTTTCAAGGGATCATTTTATAAAGTTTTGAATTATGCCTTATCAGCACAGCCTTGTAGTTCCCAACCCCCAACCCCCTTGCCCCCTTCCGGCCCATAAGGCTATAGCCTCCCACGCAGGCGTTTTTAGGGGAGCTTGTATTTCTTCCCTCCCCACAAACGCCTGCTCAACGGAAAACAACATTCCTTTCTCATTGTTTTATTTGCGTGGTAAGTGACCAATCAACAATTGTGCAATAAAGTGTTGACAGGCTAAACACGACTGAATGTGACCCTAGAGTTACCGTTTTCCCTCTTTTCTGTCCTTCGATAAGGTTATGCAGTGCACGGAGTATTCTGAATTTTGACTAAATCTTATTTTTGCCGCTCTGAATCTAACATTTATTGCAGGTCAGAAAGTTTTCCCAGTGTTTAATGCAGATCGAGTAATTATCAGATTACCTTGCGGTCAAGGTCAACTTTCCAGAATTTGGAAAGTACAATGTGATTGGCTAAGCTTGGGAAAGGAATGTTGTCTTCAGTTGAGCAGGCGTTTGTGGGGAGGGAAGAAATACGAGCTCCCCCAAAAACGCCTGCGTGGGAGGCTAATAAGGCTACAGGTGCACCCCAAATTTATCCTAGTACAATACTGACCACACCCTTCCTTCCCCAGGCAGATGGTGAATGTTCGTTTCGGGCTTCTCTTACCTTTTCTGTCCAATGGAATGTTTTCTCTTCAGGTACAGGCGTAGTGCACTGGCAAATGATTGAATTATCTTGATCACTTGTGGTTAACTGATACAGACAAACAGATTCGGGTGATTTCGACGTAGAAGAGAGCTTTTCAAAGTCGATGCCGTTTTCCTCTTCGGTGGTAATGCAAGCGACTATTTTACTACCCGTGGATAAGAAATGTGCTTCTAAAAATGTTGTCGCTACTTCTCCGAGACCAACAATAAGCAAAGGGCACTCGCTTACAATGGGCTTCTGAGAGTTCTTTGTAGCCGCCCTGAGAAAAGATAGATTCTTTGAATATTCTTCTAGCGCGGAAGATTCGTCGTTGTCTTCTTCATCGTCTTCGTCATACACAGCACGGGAAGAAGGAAACTTTACTTCCCAGACACCAAACGCCGCCATTTTGGATTTTCAAATACTAGGTCATGTAAGCTTCACCGGGTGTTTCTAAAACGAAGAGCCAAGACCCAGGCCAAGACCTAAGGCCCCGTGAACTAAAACAAAGACCCTTGGACTAAAACGAAGACCCCCTGGACTGCCCCCTGGACTGAAACGAAGACCGCATGGACTGCGAGATTAAAGTTTTGGCGGCGGAGCCGTGTTCCAACAAAAGGGAGTAGGGACGACGCGGTATTTGTCGCGGCTTCACCGCTCGAGACGGCTCCGCCGTCAAATCTCACTCGACTACTACTATACACAATACCGCCAGCTACGCAGGCTAGCATGGACTAAAACGAAGACCCCTGTGGATTAAACTCTTACGGCGATTTAGGAGTGTTGTTGAATTTCCTCTACGCTATTTAATTGTGATAATGAAGTCTATCACTCACCTTTTCTTCGATAGACCGCGTGCTCTAGCGTTTTAAAATGTCAAACAATTGTATCGATCAATACATTTACAAAACAAATTTATATCCCTGTTACTTTATTCTGACCTCTATTTTAAAAAAACTGACTCATCTTTTACGGCTCAAACAGTTGTTTCAATGATAACTGTAGTAAAAAAAAAAAAGAAAACAATACATCGGTTCTGCAAGATTCGATCCCAGGACAGCTACGTCGTATCTAAAGACGTTACCACAAGGCAACGAATGACCTAATGAAAAATTCTTTTTTATGAAAAACTGACGTCATCATCGCCCTAAATCCAAAGTAATTTAACACTCGAAATAAGTTCAAAGAAACCTGCAAAGAGACACACGGAAACACCTTTTGAAGAAAAGGTAAGTGATAGACTTCACTATCACAATTAAATAGCGCAGAGAAAATTCCACAACATTCCCAAATCGCCGTAACAAATTACCGAAGCGAGTGTTGTCATGTCTTTCGCAAGAGTTTAAAATCCACAATGGGTCTTCGGTTTTGTCCAGGGGGTCTTCGTTTAGTCCAAAGGGTCTTCGTTTTAGTCCTAGGAGTCTTCGTTTTAGTCCAAGGGGCCTTCGTTTAAGTCCAAGGGCCCGTTTTAATCCATGGGGTCTTAGGTCTTAGGTCTTCGTTTTAGGAACACCCTAGCTTCATCTAATGTCCATCGATACCATTTTAGATATTGCAGCTCGCCTTGGTGTTTCGGTGAAAACCAGTGGCGCTCAAAAATTTTCGGCAACTTCCAGAAACGAATGGAACAGCATTTTCCAAAATTTTTAAGAAAGAGGACAACCTCGCGAGGACAACTTTGTGTCGAGTCGTTCTCCCACCGAGTCAAATTCACTAGTTTATGTTCATACACAAGTTTTCCACCCAGGGTGGTTTGTGTAGATGGGAATAAGGTAAGAAAAAACTGTAATAAAAACGGCGATTCCTATGCTGGAATATCTTGTTGTTTTTTTTTTTTGGTTTTGCTTTGCGCGAATTTTTACAATCAGATTAGGACCAAATTTTTCGGATCAATTAAGGTTTCCCGGAAACTGCCCACCTACCCTTCCCCTAAGCCATCATTTTGTCCTAAGTGAGAAGTAAGTGTTCATGTTAACTTAGGGGAGGGGTAGGTTGGCAGTTTCGCAGAATCCTAAATTGATCCACTTTTTGTTTAGTGCCTTGAAAAGTTTATATTAGGTTTTCAGTTTATTTACCGTCGTGTCGTCGTCTTGTCCACAATCTTAGCTCCTTCTCCTCTCTGAAAAGAATATGTTTATTTAAAAAAAAGTTATTTTAATTGATAAAATAGCCATTAAAACATTTACATTTCAATAGCATAGCTATTGAAATGTAAATGTTAGTGTTCGCTTTTTAGGGCTGGCAAGCAGAGTCATCTTAAACTATTTTAAAAAGTACCTTAGTAAAGATCGAAGAAAACACTGTTCGTAGAAAGCTGAGACAAAGTAGCTAACCTTGCCCTTCCTGTTTATCTTGTTTCCATATGTTTTTAAAATGAGTTACCCTTTCCTGAGAAACTTTAAAAGTGACATCAAAATGTAAAGATGTGAGTTTCATTTCTCTGAACTTTAGTGCCATAGTTTATTTTAATTCCCTCTTGTACTTAGTTGTCACGGCGCGGACTGACTGAAGACATATAGAAAAGAACAACGACGTCAATCATATATTGATAAGACTTTTAAGTGAATCTTTACTGGCATTAGCATTAAGGAAATGCATTAAGCAAAAGAAAGTAAAAGGCACTCTCAATAGTTATCTTGTGATGACTTATAGGCACTAAAAGGTTTTTATAACTGAGTAAGGGCCGAGTTCCTCTTGCTGCTCGGTTACCTTATTATAGGAAATTAACGCTCCATGAAATTAAGGTATTGGAAATTAACGCGACTTAAATTAACGCGAATTTCATGGAAAACGAGTTTCGAATAAAGAAAATTAACGCGAAAGAGAAGGTAGAATTTCATAATAAAGAAAAATTAACGCGATTAAGACACAGTTTTGGCTGAAATCAATGGAGAAGATTTTGACATCACCTCTGACAGCGACAACGATGAAGATGAACTCGAGTATTGTAAACCTTCGCCGTAGCTTTTGTGAAAGATGAAAAATAAAGGATAAATGGAAAGAAAGCTTGTAGTTAATGTTTTTTAGCTGTCAAGAATGTCTGGACAGGTTCCAGAATTGGGGTTAAAATACTGGAAATTAAGAACGCGGAAATTAACGCTGCACTTAATTAACGTCGCGGAAATTAACGGTCAGCAAAATTAACGCGACTTAAATTAACGCAAATTTTAACAATTCGCGTAAATTTCATGGAGCGTTAATTTCCTATAAAAAGGTAGTTCTAATATTCAGGGACAACCAGATTTCCAAGGTCACAAAATCCATTTTAGAAGAATTTTTAAGATTGTTTTAAGATTGTGCTTAAAACTTTAAGACACGTTAAACTGAAGGGATTTTATATGTCGTAGCTTCCTCTCCCTCTTTAGTTTACACTTCTAAAGAGATTTTAGCTAGAACTGTCAAAGATTGTTCAAACAACGTACGGCGACGGCGACTACCTCCACAATCCATACGTTCACTCTGAATATTACTTCAATTGGAAGATTAAAATTTAACCGGACATTAGCAGGTGAAAAGACGCTTAAGGCTGTGAAACATTCTTTAACTTTCCTATACAGCTTCTATGGAAAACATATATGAATTCCTACCGCAATCATATACACGAAAGAAAGGCAAACTGCAATTTTAAAAAAATACATCTATTTTAATTATATACTGACGTTAAATAACTTGACTGATGTATCAGTTATGACATCTAAAGAGGTCTGTAACTTGCAGAAAAGACTAAATCAAAGGCCAGGGTAATAGTGTTACTTCCCTCCCGCCAGGGGTAGAGTGAAAGTTTTTCGGGAAGGATGGACTGACTACACGAAATTATATACCCTGTTTAGGACATGCAGAGACGTCAAGAACCATAGTCTGTCCATCGGCACATCCCCGTATAGGCCATATAAGGGAGTACCCCCTGGGATTAGCACACATCCCTATACGTCTTTTTATATAAATAAATCGTTAATTTGCTGGTGGCCACGAAGGTAAAATCATCTAAACTCTGATATGATCACCGTGATGGTTTTGGAACAGGAGAGTTGATTAGAGCGAACACGGTTCAACAGCACTGCCAACACGGTCGCACTGGCGTGAGTAAGTGTCATGTTTGTATACTGAGTTTTATATTTAGGACATTTCTGTGAACTTACACTAATGTATTTAACAATAACTTCACAGCTAATTTTTCACTAAAATACAACTCTTCTCGGGAAGAGAACTCAGTTAAAGCTAGTTAAATTTAGAATTAAATCTCGAAAAAAAAATAAGAACTGCACAGCAGCTAGTGTTAGTTTTTGTTCTAGTGAAAAACCGACAGTGACAATTGTTTTTAATTTTAACCTAACCGTGAAGCAGGTGATAGGATCAATAAAAATGAGAGAAATTGAAAAACATACGAGATAAGGCGGCATGGACGGGCGCTGGATTTTACTGTCGCTCCTTCCAGGCTCAAATCCCGTTGTGGCCGTGGGATTGTTCTCAGAAGGCCCCAGTACAACCTTTTGTTCCTGCTCCTAGATAGCCAGCCTGTTTGGCTAATGGCCTTATTGAGACTCTTACTTGTCATATTGAATTTGTAATATGTCTCCGTAGCTTCTTATTTGTTTTCCATAATGGGAACTACTTGGTCACCAGTAATTGTGTTGTCCCTATGAAGTAGTTAACTTGATATTGACAAACACAGGAGTTTATTACAACAAACATCAAGCCTTTTCAAGCGTCACAAGTAATTGCACAAGTTTTTAACGCCTACGTAGAAAAGAAAATAAATTTAAAAACCGTTGTCTCCTTGTAACAGGTTAAAAATGACATTGTGACGTGACATTACTGCAATGTAACATCTTCACGTACACGCGACGAACTTTCATTTCGGAAAAACAGCAGGGGAATCATGCAGTCAAACAAAAATGATTTAAACCTCTTACAGCTGGGTATTTGATTCACGTGGCGTTGAGGCACTGCAATGAAACATGACCGCAACGACCACACGAACGGTCATTTTTAAAAGAAACCAGTCAAACAAGAAAATTTGATTAACAAGATACCGTGATTTAAACACAGAATTGCATTCATAATCATATTTGAAGGTATATTAATGAATTCAAAAACATGAATGGAAGGGTAAAGGTAAACACTCGGAGATTAGAAATCGGTGATCGTAGTGTCCCATTTCCCTGTTCTTTAGTCCCCTCCCCCCTCCCCTAGTACCTCTGCGCTTTCTACGCTTCTCTTAGTCCGCTACACAGCCGTTAAAGTTAGTGTCGTTGCGTGACGATACTATAAACGGTTGTGTAGCAGACTCGTCTCCTCTTCGCTTACTCTTGAGAGCCTAATCACAGGATATCGTTTTTTTCGTTTTCACACGTGGTATTTCGAGAAAAATGTTGACGAGTCAACTTGACGGAAAAATTCCTCGTGACCTCGCCGCTCGCTTTCCAGCAACGGCTCCCACGTATCTAATCCCACTAGCCACAAAAGCTACGATGGGATCTAACTAATAATAAATTGATAACCGTACCAATCTCCCGCGCGTGATATATATCATATCACAGGTCGCCCTAGCTCGACATATGAGCACGGGCGAGCATCGGCATTGTTGCTTAACATTCGAAGTATAGGGATTTGTATGGGAAAAAAACCTATCGTTTCTGCAACCTACGAAAATGAAAGGATTAACAGTTTACATTACAAAAACTGTGTGTTACCTCTCTCCCGTGTGGGCCGATTTATGGCCGTTTTATGGGTTGTATTGTAAACGGTTTTTTCTCTGTTACAGTACAAACCATAAAACGGCCATAAATCGGTTCATGGACCACACAGGAGAGATGTAACTCACATTTTATGTAAGGTAAACTGTTTTTTATTGAAATTAAATCCTTTCATTTTCGTATAGGTTACAGAAACAATAGGTTTTTTCTCCATACAAATACTTAAATTTAGAATGTTCCGCAACAATGCCGATGTTCGCCGATGCTCATATTTCGAGCTGGGGCTACCTGTGATGATACAGGATGATACGGGATGTCATCCCTCATAATTGTACGGTTTTGTGGGAGCAGGGTCATGATCGATAAGTACTCACTCTGCCCGCCTAGCCGTGGCCCTCGAACCCTCAAACCTCTCCGGTAATAATCATATGAAAAGCTGTATCAAACGATCGACTCAGGGGACTGGTCTTTGATAGGGTCCTAAAAGATAGTCCTGGGGCCCGTTTCTCGAAAGTCCCGGTAACTTTACGGGCCCGAAATCAAATATTCAAAACAAAATATAAAGAATAAGAGCGTGGGTCCTGGCTAGCAAACTACGCCATTTAGTTTCAATAACTGACAATTTTATCATGTTAGATGCAAAACTATTGAAACCTCGATCTTTAATGTAAACGGAGACAGCTTACCGGGCCCGTTAATTATCGGGACTTTCGAGAAATGGGCGCCTTGGCCGTTCATTGAAAGGATAATTAAAAGCGAATTAACGAGTTTTTTTCCAGGTCATATATTCTTTATATCTCGATTTGAATATTTGAGCCCGTAAAGTTAATAGGTCCGAAAATGAATTACGATTTCCCGGGTCATAGATCTCAGAGTATACACATGAAAGAAACAAACGCACCTTTTACATATTTTTTCCAGGGACGGCCGGCCACTAACGGCATCATGATTGCAGCGCATATAGTAATCATTGCATTCCTCCAAGAAGCAGTGTCGCTGGTACATGTTGAGCCTAATATGAAAACGTTCTCTTATGCCATAAAAAACGGTTTCCTTCATCCTAAAGAAGAGAAAACACTGTACGAGCATAACACAGGCCAACCTGGTGTGATCACAGAGCAATGGTTTACGGGCTTAGAATGCAGGAATCGAAGCATGAGGATGAGAATCTATATTGACGACGAAAAAAAAGCAAGTTTAGATTTCCAAGTCTTCACGGCTCATGCCACAGGATTTAGAGAGACTGATGACCTATCAAATGTTCCTTGGGGAACCAAATGGTTTGGGCACAGCGCCAAAGGAGGTGGAATGTACAACACTTTTCGAATCCCTTTTGGCAAATCATTTCGTGTCACTGCCACGAATCCATGCCGTCGTCAGTTCTGGTACATCATTCGTGGCGTGGAAAATTACCCTGTTGTTTTAGGCGACCTTGTACTGCCACCAACAGCAAGACTAAAGCTCTATAAAAGGGAAAATGTTTCCTTATCGGCGTTTGAGTTCTTGAAGATGGCACACGTCCCTAGTTCTGCAGGAGCGGTGTTCTTGGTGACAATGGCCGCCACTGGCTCTGATCTTACCTACCTTGAAGGCTGCTTCCGTGCGTTCATCGATGGCAGCAACGAGGCAATGTGGCTTTCATCTGGTACTGAAGACTTTTTCTTATCTGCATATTATTTTGATGCGGGAACATATCAAAACTCAAATGCTGGATTGACTTACATAAATGCCTCAACAGGCTATGTCAGCGCGTACAAGTTTTTTGAAAACGATCCTTTGCTGTTTAGCAAATCCCTGGAACTTTGGTGGCGATGTAGCGATATTGATTTCACTAAAGACAAGTATGGCTGCCCTCACACTTGGCCTGATCCTAGTCCTTCTGCTTCACCTGACCGAAAAGAGTATTACAAAAGAGAGAAGCTTTCCAAGAAGGAGAAGATTGCCATCAAAAACATAAAAAGAGAGATCCAAAAGAAACAGAAGAAGAAAGACTCAGCCACAACCAAGAGATCTACTCATACTTTCAGAGATGAAAAACCTTACGTGTATGCCACCTTACGCTCACTGAATGTGACTACATACACGTGGGTTTATGAATGGTGAAAATTTACCCCCATCGCATTTAGCAGGGGCACCCAACGACAATTTTCGGAAAATATCTGTTCGGAAGACGATTTACGATCTAGCATTTTCGGAACATTTGTTGTAAAATTTCTTGCTTGCCTGCCTCTCCTAGGATTTTCGAACATCTAAAAAATGGTATAATTAACCATTTTTAACGGATTTTTACCCTAAAAAGGTCACCTAGAATTTTCGGGAGCCTTTTTTCTGGCTGAAATTTTTGAAAAGCTAAGTTTTGATCCCTATAATTCTCTGATCACTAGACTTTTTAGGGGATAAAAATATGCCTTTATCTACCGTTTAGATACTAAAATAGTTTAACAATGCTATGTTTAAGTGGTTTTGAACTTTATTCTCGTTGGGCGCCCCTGATTTAGAAGAGGATGAAGATTCTGACTCGTCCACATGCAGTCGTCGAACAATCTTCTATCAATAAAGAGATTTAAAATCATGTTTACAGTACTAAACGGCGAACTTAACGTCAGGTTCAAGTTGAAAAATCATGTCAAAATAGGAAATGTGTAGATAAAAACTGACCAGAATAATTCTTGTTGATGAAACTGGTGTAAAGGGTCGCTTGGTCACGTGGTACAAATTTAAGTTAGCGTTTGCCGTAAAAGCGTCACGCCACAGGACGGGAGAGGAAAAAAGACGGCAAACCTTGTGCAACAAACGTGACACTAATTTTGTTTGAAAAAAATTTCCTTCAAACTTCACCTTCCTTTAAACAGATCTGTTTGTAAAAGACCAGAAAACATTTGAAAACACGCAAGTCACACACAAACGTTTTGCCGTCCTGTGACGTTAACTCACTATGACGAGAGAAGCAAGGGGAGAGCTAGAGGTTATGGGAAGAAGGAAGAAGGGTATAGATCTTGTTCGTGATCTAACACAACTTTTCAAGGCTCCCTCCGCACAACTACCTTTCGAGTCTGGATCTGCCAGTCGTCTCACCTTTTTGTTTCCTACTTCCCATCACTCCTCGGGCTATTGCTTCTCGTGATCTGTCCCCAGCGTGAGATTTCCGCATAGAGACGACTGGGGAGTTGGGACGTTTCAGGGATAGATAGTTTGGTTTTATTGGAACTCCTACGGCATTACAGCCCATAGGCTGATTTGCATAAGCCAACCACTGTAGAGAATTAGACTAAATTCTTAACTATAACCCGTATATCCTATTTACAAACTCTAATAATCACTAAAAATAAATGGAAATGTAGCAAAATATTTGAAATTTATTTAAAAGCTATTCGGTAAGAACGCTATAAAAGACGACATCTTTACTAGTATTGCTAGGGACTAATAGTGTCCCTGAACTGATTGGTGCGGGTGTGTGGCAAATCGAAAACCCCCTTGTTTCTCGTGTTGTGCCTATAATTTGGTTTCTGGGGGAAAGCAAGCCAGCTAGGGTGGTAGATGGCTTGGTACACTTTTTACTGCGCCTATCTTCTTAAGACTACCTAAAGATTGTTCAAACGATTTATCTGCATGTCAATATTATGGGGAGTGCTGTCTTTTTTTGGTTAAAGTGGCTTTGTCACCAGGATTGATATTGCTGTTTTAGGTCAACCTAAAAATATTACTCCTACCACAGGTCGAAACTGTTACGTAACGTTTAAAGTGTAAGGATAAGTATGGGATAAAAGACGATTAAGTGTTTCTGTAGCCTATGGAATGTGAAAGCATTTAAATAAAAATTGGCTAACCTAACTTAAAAGTTGTGTGTTTCTTCTTTCCTGTGTGGTTTCCAGGCGGCCGATTTATGGCCATTAAATGGGTCTTATTGCAACCAGTTTGCCCCCTCTAAAATCCTTACTTGGGAAAGAATTATCGAGGAAGCATGAAAAATGGAGCCCCGATTATTTTTGGAATTTAATTGATGCGGAGACACCTTTGGCGGTTTTTTAGAAACAAGCAAATAGCGTAAAGTACTAGTATCTCATTTTAGAATAAAAATTAGCGAAAAACGTTTTACCCGGCGTTTTGATGTCACCATGATCAGACAGTTTGAAGTGGTAAAATAAAACAAACATATTTGCACGTGTAAATAGAAAGTGTATTAAAGTGCGGTAAATTCTCATGCGCTGCATGGGAATTTGATGTTCTGCTAAACTCGAGATAATAGGAAGTCCCAGAGCAAAAACTTAGCTAGATTTATGACCAGATGACATCGCTTCAATATTTACCCACTTTTGCGCCCATGTCAGGCCACTTTAGAAGTTTTCAATGGATACGAAATCCCGGATTTAGTAGTACACTGATCAATTAATGTACTAAAAAGTTTTTAAAAAATCTTTCAGCGAATTTTGTTCTAATCGCCGTTTCCCTGAAAGTAGCATAGAAATTACAAAAAGAGCTCAGCATTGCGTTTTACCCTGATTCATTCGTACGTTTTCATGTCTTTCGAAATCGAATTGATACAAAGGTACTATACCAGTCGTGAAAAAATTATCAGGTTAAAATCAGATTTGCGTTTTGAGTCAATAATTTCCTATAATATTAACTAGCCGGGGTCTACATTTTATTTCTTTCAGCTTTCTCATTTATACATTATGGCAAGGAGAATAAAAACGCAGAAATCGGTTACGAGTCCACCACAGCCGCTGTCGTGAAAAGATCCAACAATTTTTGAAGAATCTGGTGTTAGCGATGTTGTTGTTAACAGCCGTATATTAAAACGTCTTCAAAAAGAAGATTTCAGTACTTCAAACAGCTTATAGACGTGCTATCAAGGCAGGAGGAAAATCACTGGCAAAGTTGTTGAATGGATGGAAAACCGGACCGAAATATTAATTCGAAATTTACTGTAATGAATTTGAGGTGCAGAAGGTGAAGAAGACACAGTGTGAAATCCTTCGAGGTCAAATACAGAACCATAGTCACGCCACTCATCTGTACCTTCGCTAAAACCTTTGTAGTGAATTTTGATCCTTTCTTCTCTTTATCGACCTCGCGAATTTCAATTTCATACAGTTGGTTGTCCTTTTGTTCTTAGCTTTAAACACTGGTAAATACGCGTAACTAAACCTCGCTCCGCCATTTTAATAGAATTTCCAAGATATCTCGAAATTCCTCTTATAGATTTTTGTGAAACTTCGCACAGCAGAAGACAGTTATCCAAAGAGCACTTAACGTAAAGCATTTTTTCAATTGTTTTTCAAAAGAAAATGCCACACAGGGCTGAAATTCGATAGAGAGCTAAAACCATTGTGTCGTCATTGCTACGTAACATTTATCCAGATCGCACAAAAAATAATACCATAATAAAGTTTAGTCTAAGTGTAATCCAAGTGTCAATGAATCGTTTTACAATACACATCGATGCAATTTTTGGACGCTTTTACTTTCATACCTAGTACCGAGTACCATGTCGATGTTACCCGTCTGCAAGACAAGGGCAAGGCTGGAACGAGACTGGTTTGAACACAGGTTGCTGCAAGCTCGAAATAGCATCGGCATCAGTTGCGTAACATTCGAAACAAGAATTTGTACCGAAAAAACCTATCGTTTCTGCAACCGAAGAAAATTTAAAGAGTTTTAAAAAAACACAGCTTACCTTACTTAGAATCGAATGAATCGAACGTGTGTTAAGTCTCTCCTGTGTGGTCCATGGGCCGATTTATGGCCTTTTGATGGGTTATGTAACCGGTTTTCTCCCAGGGGACAGCCCTGGGGACGGGGTTGATTTCGAGCTTGGGCTACCTGTGGTTTTGAGGCGGATGATTGTCTCTAGGGAAAAACTATTGTTTGTCATGTGACGATCACAGGGTCGCCACAGAAAGTGATCTTCAAAGAAACGAAACAACAGCAATATTTAGTTGTGAGAATCATGTTAGCGGTACGAGTATTTCTCATTACATTCCTGTTCAGAGAAGCAGTATCTCTGGTAAATGTAGATCCTAACATGAAATCGTTTTCGTATGCTATTAAGAACGGCGTCCTAAATTCTAACGAAGAGCAAACACTTTACGAGCATAACACAGGTCAACCTGGTGTGATTACAGAGCAGTGGTTCACGGGCTATGCGATGGACGAAAATACCAGGATTAGAATCTATATCGACGACGAAACAGAAGCAAGTTTAGATTTTAACCTGTATCTGGCTCATGGTATGGGATTTGGTGACCAGAATGAGACACCAAATATTCCATGGGGCACGAAGCGGCTTGGTCATGAAGCTAAAAACGGTGCAGTCTACAACACGTTTCGAATTCCTTTTGGCAAATCATTCAGAGTTACAGCGACAAGACCAAATCGTGCTGTGTTCTGGTACATCATTCGTGGCGTAGAAAATTATCCTGTTGTGTTGGGCGACCTTGTGCTTCCACCAAACGCAAGATTGAAGCTCTATAAAAGGGAAGGTGTTTTCATGATGCCGTTTGAGTTCTTGAATATGGCACACGTCACTGGCTCTGCAGGAGCAGTGTTCTTGGTGACTTTGGATGCTGCCAGCTCTGAACTTACCTTTCTTGAAGGCTGCTTCCGTGCGTTCATCGATGGTAGTAACAAGACAACGTGGCTTTCATCTGGTACTGAAGACTTTTTCCTATCTGCATATTATTTTAATGCCGGAACTTTTCAAGCGCCGAATTCTGGATTAACGTACATAGACAAAGGTAGAGTCAGCGCTTACAAGTTTTTTGAAAACGACCCTTTGCTGTTTAGCAAATCGCTGGACCTTTGGTGGCGATGTAGTGATCTTGATATCACGCAGGACAAGCATGGCTGCCCTAACCGTTGGCCCAATCCTAGCCCGTATGCTGACCAAAACCAGTTTTACAACAAAGCGAAGCTATCCAAGGAAGAAAAGATTGCCGTTGAAGAAATTAGGAAAGGCTTGAAGAAGAACGAAGAGTTACCCAAGAACTGGGCAGCCATGGAGAAAGAAAGGATTGCCAAAGAAGGAAAGCCATACGTTTATGCTACTTTTCACTCAACTAACGTGACGACATACACCTGGGTGTATGAATGGTAAACGTTTGGCCTTACACAATTGAGGTAAATTATATGGGGACGGAGTTATTAGGAATAGTAATAATATTGCAACATAGAGGGCAAAATGGCCTAATTTTGATTGGCTAATATGAAGTCCAATTTGGAAATGAAGAAGGCATAAATGTGAGTAGTCTGAAAAGCCTGTGGGGTGCTGGGGAGAGAGACGTCTGAATTTCAAGGATTTTAATGCCGTGCGGTGGCGTCACCTACTTTTGTGAATGTGGTAGGTATTTTCTGATTGGCTAATACCTTTCAAGAATACAAAACCTTTCATTGTTGGCTGAACGCGCTGAGGAAAACATGCTGGTCTGAAATAGTGTTGACAGGTTAACAAGACTAATTATGAATTGCTGTGTGAAATGTGAGCTTGGAGTTACCCTCTCTGCACAAAGTGAAGACTATATAATAGTAACAACTGACAAGGAACCTTTTAATTCCAAAACTGCAGTCTTGCTTTAGGCACTTGTAACAAAAAAAGTACTACCACGACAGTCGCATAGACTATTAAGCTAAAACAAAAGTAATTGCCAATGGAGAAAGTGTAGGATGTTGAACTCCCACCCACAGGAAATAATTACTCAATACCAGCTTCATGACCTATAAATTTTACACTCAGAGCAGCAAAAGTAAGATTTGCTCAGTCAGAGCATAGTTATTAGAGGAGACTGGTTATGAAAAGCGGCAAACATCAATGAGAAAAACAACAGTGCTGCAGTTTATGTTCAAAGCACCGCGAAAGTGCACAATCCTTTGTTTTCTGTTGGCAAATTGTTATGGAATAAATTAATGCAACGTTTTTATTGGTCAATACAATCAAAATGAGAGGAATTCTTTTGAACGTTGTGCACTTTCAGGTCCACAAAAACATATAACAAAGGCGTCTGACGGGTTTCATAACCATTCCACTCAATTAACTATGGTCAGAGTTTAACAAAAAGGGAACCTCTGTAGTTCAGGCTAACTCCAAGTCCAAGTTACGTTTCGCACTATCATGAGCTTATGAGTCGTGTTTAGCCTGTTAACACTTCATTTGAAACCCGAAAAGTTAAACAACCCTTACATTTATTCTGGAGGCTTTATTGTCAAGCTTCGCAGCACTCAAAACACAGAACTCTTAATATCGACCATATTGCATGCTGCTGTTCACGGTTCCGTGACATATGGCTGCCAACTTGTCAAGAAATGGAAGTTAGGCAAAAATGCATAAAGTACTAGGTGACGTCACTAGACAGTATTATAACACTCGGAATTCAGACGTCTCTCTCTCCCTGTGCCCCCCACAGGTTAGGGGGTGGGGACGTGTGACATTTCAAACTAAAATGTGAGCTTCTCCAGGAAAACTCACCCTAATGCTGAGGAGGCTGCATAGTGTCCGTTTACATGCCGATAACTGATTTACACCCCACTTGCTGTAGGAGAGGAAAACTGGCACAGTTTTGTTGATGATTAATTATATTTTTATTGTTTGTTATATCACAGGCAACCCTTCAATATTAGGACTTAACAGAAAGAGAGCTTTGATGACAGTTTGTGAGAAGAGATACTTCCATTTCAATTTGTTAATGCACATATGTAGGTTTATGGAATGTGCACAAATAATTTAATGTCGTATTAATCACAGTCATCAAAGGTGCCCTCAATTTTTGTTTTGTTTATTGTTT